GCAGCTTAGTGTTTCTGATGAGTCTTTCTAGTTTGAAAGCAGCTTAAGGGCTTCACCTTTTACTGCGTCTGGACGCTGTTTCAGTACAACTCTGTGAGCCGTGTGTTCTCGCAAGTCTGATTAGGTTTTGTCTTGCTTTTAGGAGCAAGGCCAGGGAACACTTCCCAGGAAAGCTTGAATTAAAGTGTCCACACCTGTTCAACACCAAGATGGTTCCAATTCATGTCCACGAGTCTTTCATTCACAATCCAACATACTAAATCATCCAGATTTACTCCAGATGCATCTCTTTCTCACAAAGTTTTCATCATGACTTCCATCAGCATCCTCGTGCTAGCTTCACTATTTCAGAAACTCTAAATTTAATTGTTTATATATGAGATTTCATCATATTTGTATATTGATAATATATTCATTCAAATGTTTTCCCGTTGGGTTTTACATGGCTGCCTTGAAACTAATTTAGTTTTGATCACGTTACTGTCTTCAGGATCATAAACTCTTAATCCCAAATAACGAAATTATTGTTCGTGGTTTTCAGAGCAGACAGTTCCAGAAGATGCGTCTTCTAAGCGGTTACTGTTATTTTATGTAGCAACCTGGTGTTTGACAGGTGTGTTGCAGATGTGTTACATGTGTGTTATGTGTGTAACATGTGTGTTACAAGTGTGTTGCGTATGTTTAACAGATGTGTTACATGTGTTGCAGATGTGTTACAAGTGTGTTATGTGTGGTAAATGTATGTGACAGGTGTGTTACATGTGTGGTGCGTATGATTAACAGATGTGTTACATGTGTAAAAGGTGTGTTGCAACTTGCAGATGTGTTACATGTGTGTTACGTGTGGAGCAGGTGTGGTAAATGTATGTGACAGGTGTTTTCTGTGTGGAACAGGTGTGGTAAATGTATATGACGGGTGTGTTACGTGTGGAGCAGGTGTGGTAAATGTATGTGACGGGTGTGTTACGTGTGGATCAGGTGTGGTAACTGTATGACGGGTGTGTTACGTGTGGAACAGGTGTGGTAACTGTATGTGACGGGTGTTTTCTGTGTGGAACAGGTGTGGTAAATGTATATGACGGGTGTGTTACGTGTGGATCAGGTGTGGTAACTGTATGACGGGTGTGTTACGTGTGGAACAGGTGTGGTAACTGTATGTGACGGGTGTGTTACGTGTGGATCAGGTGTGGTAACTGTATGACGGGTGTGTTACATGCGTAACAGGTGTCGTAACTGTATGTGACGGGTGTGTTACATGCGTAACAGGTGTCGTAACTGTATGTAACGGGTATGTTACATGTGGAACAGGTGTGGTAAATGTATGTGACGGGTATGTTACATGTGGAACAGGTGTGGTAGGTGTGTTTTGTGTGTGTAACAGGTGTGGTAAATGTATGTGAGAGGTGTGTTACATGTGTAACAGGTGTGGTAGCTGTATGACGGGTGTGTTACGTGTGGAACAGGTGTGGTAACCATATGACTGGTATGTTACATGTGGAACAGGTGTGGTAGGTGTGTTATGTGTGTGTAACAGGTGTGGTAAATGTATGTGAGAGGTGTGTTACATGTGTAACAGGTGTGGTAGCTGTATGACGGGTGTGTTACGTGTGGAACAGGTGTGGTAGGTCTTTTGTGTGTGTAACAGGTGTGCTGAAATCAGCAGGTTTTGATCCGGATGTTTATTTTTGTAGGTATCGACAGAGAGAATCGCTGAAGAATTCCAGATCACCACCAGCGTTATTCCTGCTGCTGTCTCTCGTCACAACCATCCTCTGCTCTCCACGTTTGCCTGACTCCTCTGGTTGTCACCATGGCGACTCAGTTCCTCCTCCGGCCGTGTCGCTGAGCCGCCACTCTGGACCGCCATCATGGAGAGGAAACGCAGAAAGAAATCAGACTAGCTGCCTGGGCTGTTTGCAGTATGAACTCTTTTCTGGAGCCGAGGACCTGAAAATTATCTGTTCTGACTTCTGATCCAGGATCAGGTGTTCGCTGCTTCACAGCAAAACAAACAACAATGTTTATTTTTTCTGTGTCCGTGCTTTTGGGGCTGCTGGCCGCCTTGCTGCCCGCCGTGGGGATGAGGGCGGAGCCGGGGGCCACACCTCGTTCGAATCAAGCCTCCAGCATGGAGCCCCCTTCCTCAACCACCGAGTCCAACTGCTCCCAGTTGACCCTTAAACTGGAGTTCTCCTCTGAGGTGGTGGAACACGGTAAGAAACAGGTGTCTCTACAAAAATCACAAGGCCATTAACAAAAGAAAGAAAGAAATTAGGAACAAGAAAGAACAGTTGACATAAGTTTTATTTTCATCATAAGGGATACAGATTTTATTCATAAGTAAATCTGTCCTCGCTTAAAAATGCAGCAAAACTTTTAAAAAGTTTTCTGACAAACTGAACATCAAAGTTCACAAACATGTTTGTTTCTTAGTGACTTTTTCCTTTAAGCCTCTTAACCCTCCGGGGTCCATGGACGCGTATCCGCGTCTTTTGAACAGGTCTGATTTGGGACGCTGTAGCAGCAAGACTCCGCCTCCCTGATTTTCGGTTTCAATTCAGCTTTAAAAAGGAGATTATAATCTACACCCCAGTTTTTAAATTTCTTTAATAGGAAACGTAAAAGCGGAGTTGTACTAAACTAAAAAACAACCTAATTTTAGACAATCTGATAACTTGTCAAAACAGCAGTTTAGTAATCCGTGAGAGGGAATGTGCTCGTGAACATAAAAAACCCACAAAAACACGAGATCCTTTTGCTGTTGGTGGAATTCTCACATATTCAGCTGATAAAAAGCATCATTATGTAGCTGAGAGAGAGAGGAAGGCCGCACGAGTAAAGAGATGTGCGCAAAAAGGAGCCACTTCACAGGGAAAGGAGTGACGCGAACGAGTAACAACAATTAGATATTGACGGTAAACTTCATATTTTGGGGCGATCCGGACAGAAATATTGTCTCTGCAGTTTAGTAGGCTTTTATTAGGCTTATGTAAAGGATGATGAGAAGGATAAATGTCCACCAGGCGGTTCAGATATTACGGCTGTTTTTTGAACTGGAAGCAGAGGAAGTGGACGGAGACTCGCAGCCGGAGTCTGAGGCAAACAGCGAGGATGTTGATGACGATGTGGCAGATCCATCCTTCCTCATAGAAGAGTTGGGTCATGATGAGGTAGAGGATGACGGCAGAGATGCGGCTCCTCGGAGATCCAACAAGAGGAGTGGGCGGCGCCGCGCAGCTGTCAGATCTCGATCTCCGCGGCGTGAGACAGAGCCACTCCCCACTCCAAAATCCATGTACATTATTGCCAAATTAATAAAATAATTATAAATTCAGATAGTCCAGGTTGTCCTAAAAAGAATGATAGCCATAAGGCAATATTTAGTGTTTTTATTAGAAAATACAAAAGAAAAAACCAAAATGAGTCAAAACGGTAATTTACACCCTGTTCCCAAGAGGGCTAATAATTTATTAAAAAAATTTGTTATTTGCTATTTTTATTCATAGTTTTTATAAATGTACAGTCTAGATTACCATTCTAAATTATAAGAAACATTCGTCATAAATGTTTGTTGGTTTCACAGTAAAATAAAAAACATTTTTCCAATTCAGATTTTATGTTTTTGAGTGATTTAAGGTCTAATATGCAACCCCTTTATGTCCAAATATAAAAAATAAATATAAATTCATGAAGTCCAGGTTGTGCTGAAAAGACTGATGCCACATAAGGCAGTGGTTATGGTTTTTATTTTGGAAATACAAAGCAAAACTCTAAATTAGTCAAACGGCAAATTACACCCTGGACCCCAGAGGGTTAAATAAGATTCATACCTAAAATCATCTGTTAATCTTTCTACACAAGGCTTAAATGGCAGAAACACTTAATCTTTAACGTTTCTTTTTTAATCCCAGCTGTTAATCCAGATGTAGATTCACTCAGAACCAAGTGAAGATTTGGTTTATGATTACTCACATCTTACATTTTTCTGAACACAAATCGGTCCAAAGAACCAAAATCAGCCGACGTCCGTTCAAACGATCAGCCGAGTTTGGTCTGAAGGGGCGGGGTGTGTGTGTGATGTTCAAGGTTCTGTGGAAAAATCAGCTTTTTATTTTTCTTTGTGCTTTTTTCTTGTGGTCCTCTTTTTTTTTTTTATTCCACTAAAATTAGAAGCAGGGTTTTAGTTAAAATAGTTTATTTTACTGAACATCAAAGCGCTCTGCATTAATTTGTTTGAAAACCTTAAAATAAATCAGCTTTAGCCTTAATGGCCTCTGATTTGTTGGCTTTTGATTCCATTTCTTACTGGAAGCATTAGCTGAGATGCACTAAAGAGGCCCAGAAATGAACTCCCAACAAAATATCAAGTTCTTCTAATATTAGAAACTAAAAACTGGGTACATTTTATTATTAATTCCCATAAAACTGACCAAACATACAAGAACAGAGACGATGTTTCTGCCCGGACCGTTTTAGACGTGACACACCCTGATCACTTTAGTGTTTATTCATAAAGTAGCTGAAGGTGTTTTTAGCAGGTGATTGTTTTAGCTTTAGCTGCTAACGCGACCAAACGGGGAGTCGATGAGGTTAGCTTGCTGCCGTAGCGTTAGCACTTGTTAGCATAAGGCTGCTAGTTATTAGCTAAACGTTTTAACAGATATTCTGCTTGCATTTTTGCTCAATGATGTATCATTTAAGTAAATCAACAATAGCTGAAAACGAACAAATAATCCTGCTAATCTTGAGACTTGATCAGAGGTCATGATGGGTCGTTTAGTCGTGTGGAATCTGTTTTTCCACTAGTTTGTCTCGTCTTTAACGCATCATGTTGTTTTTGTTTCTTCAGAGTACATCGTAGCGTTTACGGGGTATTTCTCAGCCAAAGCTCGCGGCCTCTACATCCGCAGCGCCTTACGGAGTTCTGGAGACGACAAGCTGGAGTGGCACATCCTTCCCAGGGAAAACCCGGCTTCCGACTTCCCCAGCGACTTTGAGCTGGTCCACATCCGTCAGGCTTCTCCCAGCAGCCTGCTGACCTTAGAGGACCACCCTTACATCAAGAGGGTGACACCGCAACGCAAAGTTTTCCGCTCTCTCAAGTACATTCCCTGTAAGTCTCACAGTATGGCGTCATTGTTCAGGGATAAGGATCAGAGCTTCTCTGGGATTGGCATGTCTCTCTGGGAAATCTGAAACTCTGAGCTGATCTGGGTGCAGCTCGGCTCACAGAACGCCTCTTTGTTTGCTCCGTCCGGCTAAATTTCTCCACTGTGTGTGTTTGTGCTGCAGCAAAGGGTTGTGTGTCTTGTGTGTGTGTGTGTGTGTGTGTGTGTGTGTGGGGGGGGGGGGGGGGGGGGGGGTGGCGGGAGGGGCGTCATCGTCATCTGTTTGCTCTTAATGGGAGGGAGTAGGTGATTCACTGTGGTTGTTCCTGACTGGATGTGGGGGCACGCCCTGAGGTTGGCACTGGATGAAAGACTTCAGTGTGCCCCCCAGCCTCCTTATAAACGTGTGTGTGTGTGTGTGTGTGTGTGTGTGTGTGTGTGTGTGTGTGTGTGTGTGAGTGAGTGTCAGGGTATCCGCGGGCCCTTAAAAAGTCTTAAAAAGTCTTAAATTAGCGTTTCCAAATTTAAGGCCTTAAAAATCCTTAAAAATGACAAATAATTCTTAAATACAGTTTCCAAAGGTTTTAAATTACCAAAGATCCCAATAAACAAGATTCTTTTATTTCTATAAGATTTTCGTGAATTTCTAGTTAGTGTCCAGCATTTTTTGTGTACGATGTTGCCGTAAGCGGAACCGTACACATTCAGTGAAAGGGGACAATTTTTAGATGAGCACATTAGCTGGTTAAGCTAGTGGGAGCTCGCGCCATGGGGAAGTGCAAGTTTAATGGTAACTGGATGGTTAATCCCACGTTCGCCACGTGGTTATTACCTGTTCCAGGCAATAGCTGGAAGTTATAGCTTAAATTTAATTTAAAAAATTGCTTAAATTTGGTTAAAGTGGCCTTAAAAAAGGTCTTAAAAAGTCTTAAATTTGGCTCCCTTAAACCTGCAGATACCCTGGTGTGTGTGTGTGTGTGTGTGTGTGTGTGTGTGTGTGTGTGTGTGTGTGTGTGTGTGTGTGTGTGTGTGTGTGTGTGTGTGTGTGTGTGTGTGTGTGTGTGTGTGTGTGTGTGTGTGTGTGTGTGTGTGTGTGTGTGTGTGTGTGCGTGCGTGCGTGCGTGCGTGCGTGCGTGCGTGTGTGTGTGTGACAGAGAGAGAGAGTGTGTGTGAGAGAGTGTGTGTGTGAGTGGCATTTGTTGTCCAGACACAAGACTGCAGATCTGGTTCGAGTAGCTCCTGAGTAGAGTTTGATTATTTTGCATCAGCTTCTCAAGACCGACTGAATTAGTTGAAAATAATTTTTAAAGTTGTACCGTCTCATCTTTGTGGTTGTTGGGAATGCTGATGTCTCCTGATGAGGCCCGGGTTTCCTGCTGCTGAATCCTGCTTTGAAAGCCTTTAAAACCCGGTTCTGCTCCTGCTTGTTAATCACCTGATGATAATTTGTTCCTTCTAAGTGATTCAATCTGTGAAGAAAAGATGTAATTAGCCGGGTGCGATGGCCCTCACGACTGAAGTTACAACAAGGGGCTCGGCATACGATGAGTGTGATTAGCTTAACGAGATGTTCTGAGGCGTAGCGTTTACAGGACGAGATGATGAAAGAGGACGCGGCTCCTGTCAGTCACGGAGACTGAAAACAGTCGTGTTTCTTACACGTTCTCCTGTTTTGTCTCCGTAGCACCTGAACCTGCGGCACCCTGCAACACCACCCAGGGGAATCAAAAGTGGCAGTCGTGGCAATCCTCCCGCCCCTTCAGACGAACCAGCCTCTCTCTGGGCTCGGGCTTCTGGCACGCCACTGGCCGCCACTCCAGCCGACGTCTGCTGCGCGCCATTCCTCGCCACGTGGCTCAGATCCTGCAGGCGGATGTCCTCTGGCAGATGGGACACACCGGTAGGAAAAGGGACGTCTTTCCTCCCAAGTGCATAAATGAGAAATAATCTCCAGTACATGTTTTTGGTGGCGTGCAGGTGCTGGGGTGAAGGTGGCGGTTTTTGACACCGGTCTGAGTGAGAAGCACCCACATTTCAAGAATGTAAAGGAAAGGACCAACTGGACCAACGAGAAGACCCTGGATGATGGTGAGGAGGAAGAGCACGCTGCTGCTGACTAGTTCTGACGTTTTATGGCTGTCAGTGTTGGTGCCTGAAATCAGAATTTTCACCGTAAAGAGACGTAAAGGAGAGCAAGTTCTTTAAAGGGGCATTATGGAAGTTTGACAGCCAGAACATGTATAGAAATAATAAATGGCTTCTTCATACGTTCTCCTGCAATGCCCTGGTCCTGTAGAATGAGCCCTGGCATGTTTACTGTGATTGCCTGTTTTTCTGTAAAATCACAGAAAAAGAGAGATGCTCGGGTCGAGCAGGCTGCTTCATGCGCGTTCACGCTCAGGCATCGCCCGTAGCATTTGCTATCCGTAGCTTTAGCAGCAGAGAGAGAGGCAGTGCCACTTTGTCGCTGTTCCTAACGCCTAGTGACAAAGCTAGCTACATTTCTGAGGACCCTTAGCTACTTTCTGTAGAACTTTCTTCTAGATATTTCCTGCAAATTAGCAACAAAATAGTCATTTTCACTCCGAACCGTTCTTTGAACGTTGTTTCAGCTGTCATCAAGGATATAAATGTTACAGATTTAAAGGACGTCACTGGTGCTTTAGCTCACCTAGTAAGACATCTGACTCCCATGTAGGAAACCTGGGTTCGATTCTGGGTGTGAACATAGTTTATTTAAGGTTTATTTTTTACATTAATGGTATATTTTTTTTACAGTAAAATGCCCAAATTTTTATTTGAGACTCGCCGAACGGCATTGAATTCACAGATAAAAAAGATGTGGGTTCAACTTTCATTTTGGAACAATTTTTCAAGCAAGGGAAGGGAATGATCTGAGCATGCAGGAGGACTGACCCATCATAAACCTTTGTCGGCTGTGCTGAAGAGAAAGGTACAGAACCAAATTCGTCGTCGTCGTCGTCTTCCTCCGCTTATCCGGGTCCAGGTCGCGGGGGCAGCATCCCAACTAGGGAGCTCCAGACCGTCCTCTCCCCGGCCACCTCCACCAGCTCCTCCGGCAGGACCCCAAGGCGTTCCCGGACCAGATTGGAGATGTAACCTCTCCAACGTGTCCTGGGTCGCCCCGGGGGCCTTCTGCCGGCAGGACATGCCCGAAACACCTCCCCAGGGAGGCGTCCAGGAGGCATCCTGACCAGATGCCCAAACCACCTCAACTGGCTCCTTTCGATCGGGAGGAGCAGCGGTTCTACTCCGAGTCCCTCCCGAATGTCCGAGCTCCTCACCCCATCTCTAAGGCTGAGCCCGGCCACCCTACGGAGGAAACTCATTTCGGCCGCTTGTATCCGCGATCTCGTTCTTTCGGTCATTACCCAAAGCTCATGACCATAGGTGAGGATTGGGACGTAGATCGACCGGTAAATCAAGAGCCTGGCTTTCTGGCTCAGCTCCCTCTTCACCACGACAGATCGGCTCAGCGTCCGCATCACTGCAGACGCCGAACCAATCCGCCTGTCGATCTCCCGATCCCTCCTACCCTCACTCGTGAACAAGACCCCGAGATACTTAAACTCCTCCACTTGAGGTAGGACCTCTCCCCCGACCCGGAGTTGGCAAGCCACCCTTTCCCGGTCGAGAACCATGGTCTCAGATTTGGAGGTGCTGATCCTCATCCCAGCCGCTTCACACTCGGCCGCGAACCTACCCAGCAAGAGCTGAAGGTCGGAGCTGGATGAAGCTAGGAGGACCACATCATCCGCAAAAAGCAGAGACGAGATTCTCCTGCCACCAAACTCGACACACTCCACACCACGGCTGCGTCTAGAAATTCTGTCCATAAAAGTGATGAACAGAACCGGTGACAAAGGGCAGCCCTGGCGGAGTCCAACCCTCACCGGGAACAGGTCCGACTTACTACCGGCTATGTGAACCAAACTCACGCTCCTCTGGTAAAGGGACTGAATGGCCCTTAACAGAAAGCCACCCACCCCATACTCCTGGAGCGTCCCCCACAGGGTGCCCCTGGGGACACGGTCATAAGCCTTCTCCAAATCCACAAAACACATGTGGATTGGTTGGGCAAACTCCCATGCCCCCTCCATCACCCTTGCAAGGGTATAGAGCTGGTCCACAGTTCCACGGCCAGGACGAAAACCACATTGCTCCTCCTCAATCTGAGATTCAACTATCGATCGGACCCTCCTCTCCAGTACCTTGGAGTAGACCTTTCCAGGGAGGCTGAGGAGTGTGATCCTCCTGTAGCTGAAACACACCCTCAGGTCACCCTTCTTAAAGATGGGTACCACCACCCCGGTCTGCCACTCCCTAGGAACTGCCCAGAACCAAATTATTTAATTAATTAGCTGCGCGTTCTCCTGTCCTCTGTCCTCCGCCCCCCCCCCCCCCCCCCCCCCCACACACACACACGGGACTTTCTCAGCTGTTATTTTCGTTAAGGAGTGTGCACGTACAGCATGAGCGCCTCGTGCACGAGCCTACTTTTGAAGCTGCCGTTACGCTTTTGGCCTGAGGGGGCGATCACGAGCATAAAAATTCAAAACTCAGTAAAGTCCCTTAAAACACATTTTGCATAATTTAAGGGATATTTGGGTGATTTGGAAGTTTTATTTCTCTACAGTAAGGTCCATACCTGATGCTGATGTCCGTCAAAGAGAGCGAAGTGTCTGGAGACAGGAAGTAGTTCATGACTAGCCATATCGCTAAGCTAGTGACTAATTTCTGTTTTTGTTAAATGCCTCTTGCTCAAAGAAGTCCCACCGATGTGCTACAGAGCTGTATGGCCTGTTTTTAAGCCTCTTTAATTAGGGATGCACCGATAAGGTTTTTTGCTGCCGATCACGATACGATATCAAAGAATGCTGATCACCGATGCCGATCACGTGGATTGGCCAAAAATTTTCTACAACATTATAATGAGTGCTACAAACTACATAATCTGGGAATAAAGGAAATGTAACCTAATGTAAAATGGTCTGTATTAGGGTTGTCACGTAGTCTTTAAAATACCAATATTTGCCCATAACTTCTTATTTTATGTCTGTTTGATGTCATCATTTTAAAAATATTAGATCAGATGATACTCAGTACTCAAGTAGCCTTCTAATCAGATACTTTTTTTTACCCTTACTTGAGTAATAAACCCTATATCAGGAAAACATTGTCCTCGGTTTGTGTCCTTCCAGTGAGCTTTGCAGATGTGGGAAAATGTCATCAGGCAGTAATCATTGTTAAATTCATAATTATTCTCTGAGAGAGACCAACTCTTATCTGCCCCTGGGAGCCCCGTAATGCATAGCGTCATTTCAACATGGGGGTGTCCGCGACACGGTTTATATGCAGGTAGCGGCGCTGCGGCTGATTTATATAGCGACTCGTTGCGTTCTCCCTCAACCCAAATCCTCGGATCACGCATTTGAGCTAAAACGCTAACGTTAGCTTGCCTTGCGTTGACTGTAGAGTTGTGGGTGATGGTCACGCAGATGTGTCATGAGATTTGAAGCGTTGCTGCCTTTCACAGACACTTTTTCTGCACGTGCTGCAAACAGGATAGCCGTCTTCTATCAACTGTCCCTCGGCATTCTTCAGATATCCAAAAGATGCCCGTACTTCCCACTTTGTCTTCTTTGAGGGATAATAAATGTCCTGAGCGCTGCCGTCTCCTCCTTTGGCCGTTATTTCAGCTTTAGCTTCAAGAAAGTTTTGGTTGTAAACAACAAAGTGCGCATGTGCCGCCGGCAACTTCAGCAGACGATACGGTGGCTGGTAAGGGTCACCGCGCCTACACCGCAGCCACGGTAAACCACCGAGATAATTTTTTTTAAACAAGACGGTTATTATTATTGTCAACTTTTTTTTACCGGGGTTTACGCTACACTGGTTACCGTGACAACCCTAATTATGTATTTAGCAGGCGCTTTTGTCCAAAGCGACTTACAAGTGATAATCGGCATGTTGCCCTTGAGGCTAACAACAACAATAACAACAACTTGACATCAGTCATGGAGAGGAGGGAACAAGGAGTGGACAGTAGAGAGGGGGGACGGGTGCAGGGAAGGTGCTAGTTTAGAAGATGCTCTCTGAAGAGCAGGGTCTTCAGGAGTTTCTGGTAGTGTTAGGAAGGTCATTCCACATTTGTGGAACGACGCATGAGAAGAGTCTGGATTGTCCTGAGCGTGGTGAAGGCACTGCTAGCCGACAATCCTGTGATGACCGGAGCAGCCGGGCCGAGACGTAAGCCTTTGCAAGAGGATTCAGGTAGATGGGAGCCGTACCATCTCGGACTTTGTATGCTAGTGTTAGCAATTTGAATTTGATGCGTGCTGCTAGCGGTAGCCAGTGGAGCTCAATGAACAGAGGGGTGATGTGTGCTCTTTTTGGCTGATTGAAGACCAGACACGTCGCTGCGTTCTGGACCATTTGAAGAGGTCTCACAGTACAGCCTGGAAGACCAGTTAGAAGGGCGTTGCAGTAATCGAGGCGGGAGATGACAGTAGATTGCACCAGGAGCTGGGTGGCATGTTGTGTTAGGTATGGTCTGATCTTTCGTATGTTATACAGCACAAAGCGGCATGAACGGGCAACAGAGGCAACATGATCTTTAATTTAACAGTATATTAAAATAAAAGTATTTAAAAACGGTAAAATGTCCTTAAAGATGTTTAAAACGGACTCCAAGATGGTATCAGGACCTTGTTTAAGTCTGGATGTGAGTCCAACGTGGTGAAAAACAACGGTTATAAATAGAAGAATCAGGTCATGAACTATGAACACAAACCAGTTCTTTTATTCAGTCTGAGCTGAACTTTGGACCGGTCCTTGTGAGGTGTGCACTCATGTAAACACTGGTTGGCCTTTGTTGACATTAACAGCTGATTATGATTGATCTGATTGCTCCTGTCAGCAGGAATGATGACGCCTGGTCGTGTTTTAATGCCGCTGATCCGATCCGATGCCGACACTTTTCCCACTCACGTTCATCACTTCCCTAAACAACAGCGTTGACTCACTCAGACCCATTCAGTTTGAGTTAGCAGCTTTGTTTTATTTCCTAATCTGTTCCTCTGTGGGGTTGGGAGATTACTACGTTGGGAATCTTTATTTTGCAAACCTGTTTTGTGTAACGATGCTCGGCGTGAGCAGAGAGGGACGCGAGCGCACAGCCTGTGACTGGTGCGGCGTTCCGGTGTGGATCTGATGGTGGGAAAGCGTCACGGCTGACTGCTGCTGCTGTTTTCCAGGACTGGGACATGGGACGTTCGTAGCGGGAGTGATAGCCAGCATGAGGGAGTGTCAGGGCTTTGCCCCCGATTCAGAGCTCCACATCTTCAGAGTGTTCACCAACAACCAGGTGAGGTGCTCACGCTGCTGCTGGTGTTTGCTTTCTACACCACAGTCGGTGTAAATGTGTGTTTCAGCGCTCCGTTGTCTCCTTTAAGGTTTCGTACACCTCCTGGTTTCTGGATGCTTTCAACTACGCCATCCTGAAGAAGATCGATGTTCTGAACCTCAGCATCGGGGGGCCGGACTTCATGGACCATCCTTTTGTGGATAAGGTGATGCACACGTCCTGCTGCTGTTAAATACCAAAGCTGCTGTTCGTCGGATTAAAGGAACACCCGTTTGCTCCTTTTGTCCTTCATGTTACGCCTTTTTAAAAGTTACTGAGGCGAGGCGGGTCAACTGTCAGAACAAACGGGTCAAACCGGGTTCGCGAACGGCTTCGGTACAACGTTCACACGTTCAAAAACGTCAGCTGCAGGAAAACACGCCTGGCTTTACCTGCTCTCTGGTGTTGATGTGACCGCAAACTGGGTTTTTTTTCCCGCATGAGGAAATGTAGGAACAATATGAAACGTTTATATAATTTCCCTAGTCTGGATTGAATGCTCTGGATTAGAAGACCCCGTGTCTCCTAAAGGGAACATAAGTGTCATGCAACATTTTTGTTCTATTGTTAGACCTGTTTTGATCATGTAGAGAGGCTGGATGTTCATTAAATTCAATTCAATTTTATTTATATAGCGCCAAATCACGTCAAGAGTCGTCTCAAGGCACTTCACATAATAAAAATTCCAATTCAGGTCAGTTCATTAAGCCAATCAGAAATAATGTTTCCTATATAAGGAACCCAGCAAACTGCATCAAGTCACTGACTAGTGTCAGTGACTATACAGCAATCCTCATACCAAGCAAGCATAAAGCGACAGTGGAGAGGAAAACTCCCTCCCTAAATGATTTTTATTTAAACTAAAAATGAACAATTTTCTCGTCGTCGTCGTCTTCCTCCACTTATCCGGGTCCGGGTCGTGGGGGCAGCATCCCAACTAGGGAGCTCCAGACCGTCCTCTCCCCGGCCACCTCCACCAGCTCCTCCGACAGGACCCCAAGGCGTTCCCGGACCAGATTGGAGATGTAACCTCTCTAACGTGTCCTGGGTCGACCCGGGGGCCTCCTGCCGGCAGGACATGCCCGAAACACCTCCCCAGGGAGGCGTCCAGGAGGCATCCTGACCAGATGCCCAAACCACCTCAACTGACTCCTTTCGATCCGGAGGAGCAGCGGTTCTACTCCGAGTCCCTCCCGAATGTCCGAGCTCCTCACCCTATCTCTAAGGCTGAGCCGGCCACCCTACGGAGGAAACTCATTTGGGCCGCTTGTATTCGCGATCTCGTTCTTTGGGTCATTACCCAAAGCTAATGACCATAGGTGAGGACTGGGACGTAGATCGACCGGTAAATCGAGAGCCTGGCTTTCTGGCTCAGCTCCCTCTTCACCACGACAGATCGGCTCAGCGTCCGCATCACTGCAGACGCCGAACCAATCCGCCTGTCGATCTCCCGATCCCTCCTACCCTCACTCGTGAACAAGACCCCGAGATACTTACGAGAACAATTTTCTGTTGCAGCTAATCTGAAAAAACCTGGGAATTAAAAGACAACCGAAAACAAAAGTCCCGCCTTTCAGGAGGACATTTCTTTCCATCTTCTGTGATTCCTGCTGACCTGTCTGAGCTAGCTCACTTCTGTTCTGATGAGACTTATTCATGTTCATTAACCCAAACGAGCCATTGGTTATCGTCTTAATCCCATGTGAGGCTCTTCTCATGCCCCGCCCCCCAGCTGGATCTTCTTTCTTTAACGTTGCTGTTAATGCGTGGAAAAACAAAAGCTCAACGCTGTGGCCTCATTGTTCAGGAGCGCTCCTCGTTTAGCCGATATTTAGTTTTTATTATAAAATAAAATCAGTTTTCATTTTGCCTCCTGCCCTGGTCCGGATGGTTACGGCTGTACAACTAAAAGCATTTCAGACTCTAAATATTTAGGCGCTTTCCTGCAGCATCAATACAGATTCTTCCAGAAAGAAGAAAATATAGAAAAGTGTGAATTTGTGAAACGTAAAATCCAGATTTCTTTGAGGAAAATCAGTTTGATTTAATTTTCTCTTCTTCCACTGACAGGTTTGGGAACTGACAGCCAACAAAGTGATCATGGTTTCTGCTATCGGCAACGACGGGCCTCTGTATGGGTACGGTCATCCCCTAACCCCATCAGCTTCAGAACGTCTCGTTTTTATGGCGCGCTATGGGGGCCAAAATTAAGACAACTGCCCAGCAGCAGGAAGCTATATAAATTCCGAAGCAAACTACTGATCTGATTAATGATAAGCTGGCGCCGGTAACTGAGAGGCTGGCGCTGCTTCCAGAGAAATAGCACCTTTACCGGCGTTACTACTAGATACGCTAGGGACTAGCAGCCCTCGGCTGGTCATTGACTGGTTCAAACACTCCCTCTGCTGTCTATTAGCATGGATAGGCTAGCACTAGCCTGGACGGGCTGGTGTTAGCATTGGAGAGGCTAGCCATTAGCGTGCCTAGGTATGCCACTAGCTGGATTTCCTACCCCCTTGACGGACCTTAAGCATGGATAGGCTGGCATTAGCATCGGAGAGGCTAGCCATTAGCATGTCTCGAAGAGTCACTAGTCAGCTAGTGGCCAGCCTAGGCACGCTAATGGCTAGCCTCTCCAATGCTAACACCAGCCCGTCCAGGCTAGTGCTAGCCTATCCATGCTAATAGACAGCAGAGGGAGTGTTTGAACCAGTCAATGACCAGCCAAGGGCTGCTAGTCCCTAGCGTATCTAGTAGTAACGCCGGTAAAGGTGCTATTCCTCAGTAAGCAGCGCCAGCCTCTCAGTTACCGGCGCCAGCTCATCATTAATCAGGTCGGTAGTTTGCTTCAGAATTTATATAGCCTCCTGCTGCTGGGCAGTAGTCTTAATTTTGGCCCCCATACCGCGCCATAGTTTTTTCCTGAAATGCTCCTCCTCATTCTTGTAAATAAATTCTCAACGACGTTCTTGTAGGACCCTGAACAATCCGGCCGACCAGATGGACGTGATCGGAGTTGGAGGGATCGACTTCGAGGACAACATAGCTAGGTTTTCCTCCAGGGGCATGACCACCTGGGTCAGTATGAAGGGACGAGCCGAGACAAGCTGCTCCTCCATGAAATCTCTTATTTTTGTCGTTCTGAATTCTGTTTACCAACTTTTTATCTCCTTAAAACTGCCTTATTGTTGTTGAAATGAGGACAGTTCCCCAGTTTAATAGCCCACATTTTATGAATGTCTCACTTCAACAGATAATTGACCATTTTATAAAAATTCGATGGATTATTTTTCCTGAATCTGTATCCAGGAGCTGCCGGGGGGCTATGGCAGAGTGAAGCCGGATATCGTCACCTACGGTTCTGGCGTTCGCGGCTCCGGGTTGAAGGAGGGATGCCGTTCTTTGTCTGGGACCAGCGTGGCCTCTCCTGTGGTCGCAGGTGCTGTCACGCTTCTGGCCAGGTAGGCTTCAGACGAGCTCGCCCGTAGGAAAGCAACATCAGAATTCTAGAATAATTTCTCAATAATCTGGTCAAAGTTCCTCAGATTTGTTATAGTAATCCAGTGGAACCTGTTTGTGTTTTTGCAGAAACAAAATTTGATCGTTCCATCAACAAGTCGGACAATAAACTGGAATTATTTCTGAGGTCTAACGCTGCGTCTCAATTCAGGGTCTGCGTCCTTCGAAGGACCCAGCCTGCTCGGCCGACATGGGCTGGGTCCTCCGTCGGCCGAGTAGACCGGATGTTAACGGCTGTGAATTTGGACAGGCCTAGCCTTCATGAACTTCCGCCTCTCCCTCGGCGAACGTTCCGTCGCCTAGCAACCGTGGAACCGCTGAGCAGAAGGAACTTTAAACGATGGAGCTCGAAGTTTTATTTAGCTTTTTAATCATTTCCTTGACTGTTGGAGAGCTAAATCAGAGAAAATACTTTCGACAAGCTGAGCAAAGATGTGATAATAGTTTTTAATACTTTCTAAGGGTCTTCATTTGACCAAAACCGATTTATCACCTTTTAAGACTTTTCAAGACCCAGCGGATACCCTCTAGTAAACAATTCTCATTTGTAAACAAAAATAAAATTCAAGAGTTTAATGCAGAACTGATTTTATTTAGATATTTCTTTTATATGTACATGTTTAATCTTTATTAACCATTTTTTCTAGCAAAGTAAAAAGCTGTCAAAGCTCTCCCTTCTCTCCTGTGCCCTCTGCTGCTCTGCCTCCCTCTGCAGCCTCATGTCCTCCCTGATCAGCTCCAGGAGCTGGTCATCGCTATCACCTTCCCCTGGATGCCCATTTTCTCCAGAATAGTCTTAACAAACATGTAAGAAAAGAAACAGGAAGAGAAAAGAGGACAACGGGTTATTCCTTTCATGTTTTCGCAGAAAAAACTAAACTCAAACGAGTTTTAAAAATATGAGATGTTGTTGTACCTCCATGCCACAGCCGCCGAATACTTTGCTCCTGTGAACATGTGGTCCATCTCCGCCCTAAGCTTAATAAATTCCATGGTTTGCATTCCAAGTATAAAAAAATGAGAACATGATTTTTAAGTTCTGGATTGGCGGATCGATCCCAGCTGATTCCTTCATGCATCTCTGTCATAAGAGTTTAAAACAACTTTTGCATTACCAACTAGGATTTTTTAGAATCCTTGTCAGATAGTACAACTGACCCAACTCAGCTGTCCTGCAAGAACTAATTTCTCCAAGCTGGAGAAGTACAACACCGAGCGTCCGAACATACGAGCCGAGACCGCAATACAAGCACTTTTACTGTAACATTTCTAACTAAAATAACGTTCATGTATCACAAAAAGCCCTTAACCTAACAGTTTTCAGGTTTATACTGACATTTATATGCGCAATCCTCTCCGACAGCTCCCGCTTCACTGTCCGCCATTGTTTTTAAAAGTTCTGCCGTCCGGCCTGCAAGGCATCTTGGGAAATGTGAACCGTTGAAGGATACACCGGACCCATCCTTCATTCAGGCGAAAAGAAGGCCGGATTCGTCGACCGCATTTGAAGGAGTCTTCGAATTGGGACAGGCCTAGTCGCGGCGCTGTGACGTAACCGGCCGACGAAGGATGCAGACCCTGAATTGAGACACAGCCTAAGAGTCAGATTTAGGTTCTTCACTGCAGAAGAGTCTAAACCGCACGTCAGTATTCACTGCTGGGTTAGCATTAGCGTCTGTAACTTTACGCGTTAGCGTCTATCCTTCCCACAAGAGCTCTGTTTAAACGCGGCTGCATCACAACCAGATTGTGACCTTTGACCCTGCCAAGGAAAGTTTATATTGTGTAGAACACGCTGCACTGTTCTCCGACTCTTGGTGAAAGATTCCTGCAGCCCAGGATGGAAATGAAAGGATGCAACACGTCCACTAAAGGTGTCCGGATAATAAATGCTTGTTTTTGTTTTAAACGTGAATAATTACGCTGCTCTTCCTCCCCTGATTCAGACGGATCCAGAGCAAGTTTAGCGTTTAAATCTGGATTCATTTAAACGCCCTCCCCCTCAGAGGTGGAGCAAAAATCACGTTTTCAGTGTTGAACATTTAAAGCGAGCTGCCAGAGTGATTCCCGCTGCTAGCAGGTTTATGAAAGCACGTCATTAGTTTCCTGGCGAGTCTCCGTTCAGGAGCAAACGTGGAGTCGCAGCACGGAGACGAGTTTGACACTTACAGATATATTTGTGTAGATGTAATTCCTCCTGGCTTTGAAGTCCTGCATAAGCAGGAGGTGAAATGCGTCTGCAGGGAGGGAAGCGTGTCCGTGATTAACCCGCGGTATTATTCCCAGTCTGTCCGTATCGCATCCCGACACACCGAAGCCTCTTACCGAGCCGTTAAACACACACTCCTGTTCTAACCACTGGCAGATACGCAAAAACTCAAGCTGTCCCAATTCGTCCTGCAGCACCGTCCAGAACCGGGAGCTGGTGAACCCCGCCTCCATGAAGCAGGCCCTGATCTCCTCGGCCCGCAGGCTGCCAGGGGTCAACATGTTTGAGCAGGGTCACGGGAAACTGGACCTGATCCGGGCCTACCAGATCCTCAACAGCTACAGACCTCAGGCCAGGTGAGGAAGAAGCACACACACACACACACACACTAGGGCTGCGCAATTAATCAAATTTTGATCCCGATTACGATCTGAGTTTTGAACGATTATAAAAACAAAACAAGCAGATTATTTACTCCTCCCGCTTGCGCTGCCCTGAGTTGCAAATGGAGCGCTCCTCCCACAGTGATGCCAACTTAGCGACTTTGATTCTATTTCTAACAGCTTTTTAGACCCCCTTCTTGACTTTTTAAATCTTAAAAGTACCTAGCGAACACCTCAGAAACATCTCTGGTAACTCTTAGCTACTTTCTGGATAACTGTCGTCGACGTTTCCTGCAGGTTAGCTAAACACTCCGCCTGCGCTCCCGACCGTTCTTCAGGACATTAGGAAAGGGAATGATTTAGTGATGTGTCGGTCGCTAAAGAAACAGCTCTCAGAGCCGGCTCCCTGTTGGATTAACCAGAGTGAGTGACACACACCGTACCTGCGGGCTCCTGAGCTGCTAAAAAACGGCTAAATGTGCGCGTGCGGCGCGCTAAACACACGTACATCTTGCCCCTGATTGCTTTGAGACCGGGTTGGGGGGTGGGGGGTGCAGCTGTGGTTGGGACAATTATTACATTAACTGATGGATGTGTAAATAAATAGTTTATAAATAAGGTAGAAATAAGTTCCTCACACTGATAAATAATGACTAATCTCTCTGAGGACACGGTGCTAGTGCACTCTCCTACAGCACCTTGACACGACTCAATAAATGCTATGCAACATTTTGTGAACATCAATTTATTTGCATTTATTTGTTATAAATGCCACTGTATAATTCTTGCTGTCAGTATTTGCAAGATATTGGTATTTGGGTCTGTACTGGTTAGACTTGAATCAAATCAAAGATACTTTATTAATCCCAGAGGGAAATTAGAGTTTCAGTACACACAGTTTAGAGATCAGACATACATGGGCAAGACACATGACAAGAATTGGTGACTGTGGTCATTCGCAACCCCGAGTCGCGCTACCTTAACAGAGATAAGAGGGTTACATGAGGATTGGTTCAGGTGGAGGGAAAAAAAGGCACTTCAGAGTTACCCTCCATAGGGAAGGGCAGCTTTGCTCTGCAAATAAAACACCTCAGACAGACAGATATGCAACAGACTTCAGACAACACAACATAAGTGTCCACTAGGTGGGGTGGTGGGTTGGGACTATCCCCACTTCAGTTCCTGCAGCCACGATAAGCAGCGCATGTCACCTCAGTGTGGATAGGGGGAGGAGCATTGAGGGTTGGAGGGTTGCAGTGACCCTGGAATGTTTCAGCGGCCTTCCCGCAGTCCCGCCCAGGCTGGGAAAGGAGACAGAGTTGAGTTGCCATAGCGACGGCACATTCCACATATCTTCTGGGGGTGGGAGTTTTCGTTGGAGCCTTGCAGGCTCAAGGACGCCAGATTCCGATTAGAAATTGTTTTGGGGCCAGACAGAGATGATTTCCTCTCTGTCTTACAGTTTGTTGGTCTTCAACCTCTCAAAATCCCAATAATGGACATTAATCTATCCCAGTCCGTGCTGATTCGTCCACACTCTCCTTGATGGCATCCATCTTTTGTGCCAAAGAATGAATCTCTGCCAAAGTCCCAAGCTTACGATTCATCTCGACAATTATGTGAGTCTGTGAATTCACAGCGCGGTGCCATCTCTGAGCTCCGGGATCAGGCCAATATTCCTCTACAGCTCGTTAATTTTCCGGTAAGCCAGGTAGCCTCCAAGGCCAATGAGCAGGAAACCCGACACCAACACCACAAATATCCACACGTCTTCAGAGTCCTCCACAGACAGCTGGTCTGTCCAGGAGGGGCATCCGGGAGCCCCTTCTCCCGTTCTCATCGTTGAAAAAATTTGATCAATTGCGTTGAGTGACCAACTGACGAGATCCATTTTAGTGAATTTCAGTTTCCAGAAAAAATCCAGAAGCAGCCGTGCACCCAGCACACACAGACAGACAAAGGCCGTGGGGATAAGATATGGAGGAGAAGAAAAGCGTCTGCACCCTCCAAGAGCCGGAAGAAGAATAAACAATAATATATAAGCAGATTGGTCTTTTTATACTGGGAATCAGGAGTTATTTTAGTGATCATCTTGTTGTTTATTTTTGTCCTGATTGTGGCCTGAGCAATTTTATGACTGAATAAAAACAAATTAAATCAACATAAATTGAAAAATCGTCTTAAATAATCGAGATCTCAATTTCAGTCACAATAATCGGGATTATTGTTTTTGTCATAATCGAGCAGCCCTAACTCACACCACAGGTGGTGTAGCTAACCAAAAGCGCCGAGGCAGGAGGGGAAAACCGGCTCTGACTGGAATAGTTGCAGTAGATTTTTCCCTTCTGTGCTTTTATTTTGTAAATATTTTTGTCATCTTCTAACAGGGATGACTTATGGCGTTAGATTAGACATCCCCCCCCCCCCCTCGTCTCTAACCAGAGGCGAATGTGTGGTTCTGACCTGTTGTGGTCTCCTCTCAGTCTGTCTCCCAGCTACATCGACCTGACGGAGTGTCCTTACATGTGGCCTTACTGCTCTCAGCCCATCTACTACGGAGGGATGCCCACCATCGTCAACGTGACCATCCTCAACGGCATGGGCGTCACCGGTAGGATTGTTGACAAGGTGAGTCCTTTACCTATAGGGCCTTTAAGGAAGAGTTGTCGGGTGATTTACATCAAATAAAAACAACAAACGATTAACAAAGCGGTCCTAAAAGAAAAATATTGTAAAAAGTAGACCTAAAACTACGTTTAGAGGAGCACCCAGGAGGCCTGGATCAGGAGGTGGAGCAGAAGTAGGGAGATGAGAACACAAGCGGGTCTCTGTGAGAAGTCCTGCAGCTGGGATTTAGAGCAAAATTTCCCTTTGGTTCTGCTCCAATAGAGCTCCGGGAGTTGACGTCACTTCTCCCGGCATGCAACAGTTCAAATCGAAACGGCGCCATATTGGCAGGCAGAAGCCCGCAGCTGGACTATTTGTTATTGTCAGAAAACTCAATCAAACGGGAAATATGGTAGATTCCTGTTGTGCCCCAGGATGCAGAACAGACGCGGACGACATAAGGAATGATTCCCCAAGATTCGGAGCGCCGCAAACGTTGGATCATTGTAATAAAACGCGCTAGTGACCGGGCTAAAATGAAACTAGGGGATCCCGAGAGTAAAGGTTTTCACTTATGCAGCGACCGCTTCATATCAGCGTTTCCTCGACTGTGTATGGTATTTATTTTAAATGCATTTATTACGATTCTTAGTGGGCTTCCTAAACTTATTATGGCGGGGCTTTTTCTGTCTTATTACTCATAGCAACAAGTAAACGTCACGTAAAACGTTGCCTCGTGATTTCTGCGTGCTGCCGTTTACGTGTTTTATGATCACAGCAATTAACCGGCTGAGCTGTAATTAATTTTTAAGCAATGGTTGATCAGTTGTCAGATCACACATAAAAAGCACTTTGGATTGCTATTATCTGTCTCACCGAGTCAGATCTCAGACAGATCCTGAGACGCTCCTGCCTGACATATTTATTTTATTCACGGAAAAAAATCAGACTAGTGATTTCTCTTGGCGTTCAGTTTATACATTCAAACAGCACAGCACTCTATTTAAACTACTTACATGTAAATCTGTTATTTGTCCATCCATCCATCCATCCATTTTCATCCGCTTAAGTCGAGAGGCCCAGACTTCCCTCTCCCCAGCCACTTGGGCCAGCTCCTCCGGGGGAATCCCAAGGGGTTCCCCGGCCAGGTCCGGTAAGATGTCCGCTCCGACAGCTTCTGGCGTTTTAAAAACGTATCCCAGGGGCACGGTAAGGGTCGGAGATGTTTAGTCTATTTAATTTCTGACTATATAAAACGATGTCTTCGGTTTAAAAGTGTGAAGTAAACTCAGATGGAGTAAAATCCAAGCCCATCCCGTTCATTTTGTTTACCTTTGTTGCCTGCCAACATGGCGTCTACTCTCTGAGAGTCACGTGACGTCCGGAGCTCTATTCAGCTGAAGAACGTTGGATTCAGTTAGAAATCCCGTTTCTGACCAGATTTTGATGTCTCTCGTCCGTTTGTCGACTCGTGATTGAATTAAACCTGCTCCTTGGTTCTGTTCAGCCCATCTGGCAGCCGTACCTCCCGCAGAACGGCGACCACATCGACGTGGCCGTCTCATACTCGCCTGTTCTGTGGCCGTGGGCCGGTTACCTGGCGGTGTCCATCTCTGTGGCCAAGAAAGCTGCGTCGTGGGAGGGAGTCGCTCAGGGTCATGTGATGGTCACTGTGGCGTCGCCTGCAGAGAACGACGTGAGTCTTTCGATCCTGGTGTGAGCTTGTTAATGAAATTCTTCACTTCCTGTTACTCCCGTTCTGCTGGTGTTCTGTTACGCTAGAATAATGCGCTCACACATCAGCGTTTTGGCGTTTTTTTAGTTAAACGCTCCAGAAACCCGTTTCTTCTCCTCTGGTCCCGATTTTCCAGTCGGACGTGAGCGGAGAGCTGACGTCCACGGTCAAACTGCCCATCAAGGTGAAGATCGTTCCCACTCCTCCTCGCAGTAAGAGGGTGCTGTGGGACCAATACCACAACCTGCGCTACCCACCGGGCTATTTCCCTAGAGACAACCTCCGCATGAAGAACGACCCTCTGGACTGGTGCGACAACGCAGAAGCGCTTTAGCTTTCCTGTCACTTTTCCTGAGTTGCAGAGCTACAGGTTTGTTTTCTGATTCCAGGAACGGGGACCACATCCACACCAACTTCAGGGACATGTACCAGCACCTGAGGAGTATGGGCTACTTCGTAGAAGTTCTGGGAGCACCCATCACGTGTTTTGACGCCAGCCAGTACGGTATGGACTCAGAAACTCGAGACCGTTGTAAGTTTGCCTCCTTGGTTCGGTTCCTCTGAGCAGCTAGTCGGTTAGTTCAGTGTCATCCGACACGACGACCTTGTGTGTGCTGCTAGTCTGAGCCAAACGGGCTCCTGTAGCAGGTTTGTGTTGCATCAGCAGGTTTTCTTGGTGTGAAAAGGAACCAAAGCAAAAAAAACAAAAAACCACTAGATGAGTTAAATTCGGACCTGATTCAGACCGGAGGAGCTGAAGTCCAGGCGTGACCAACAATAAAGGCACTGATTAACTTCCTTCTATAGCAACATAATGCAGGATTAATCCGCCTCGTGCAACATTTAATCTTCTCTCTGCTGACGTTCCTTCATCTAATCCACAAAATCAGAATCCTCGTGTTTGTTTTGGGGTTTGAAGGCGTTTTCGGCGTTTCCCTTCACCTGCCCGTTAGGGTTAGGGTTCTCATTCCAGATTTAAACACAACTGAAGAACACGTTTTATCATCATCTTAGGTGTGTTCTTGCTGTGTGTTAGTTCTAATTCCATGCTATCGTTCTTTTTAAAACACAGAAACAGTTTTGTTACCTGTTTTGTCGCTACGTTTCGCCGCCGGCGAAACGTAGCGACAAAACAGGTAACGAAACTGTTTCTGTGTTTTAAAAAGAACGACAGCATGGAACGTTTTATCATCAGTTCTAACATTCGTTTAGATCACATATGTCAGAGTCAAGGCCCGCGGAGCATTTTTTTGTGGTCCACGAGATAAATATCAAAATTATATTAAAACTGGCCCGCTGGCCGATTTTACCGCAAAGACTTCAACTCCCATGATGCTTTGCGGCGTCAGCGCGGAGGCGACGCGCCCCCTCCTTTGTGTTTTTTCCAGCCCGAGGCAGTCAGGGGTAGTTGGGTGTCTGCAGCTCCGCTGTCTCGGACAAACTACACTCCTCTCACTCAGCGCAGAGTTCACTCAGCTGTTTTCTGACGTTGAAGCCCAGAAACGGAGATTCTAGCCGCTCAGTAATGTGTTCACGACTGAAAGAAAAAGTTTTCCAACTAACGTCCAGACAAAGCTGATATAACTCCAGCGAGCAGCGACACGCTCAAACCAGCACGACTCTGTGGCTGCTGTCTTTTTTATTTTTCCTCCCCGACACACAACGACGTGGTCAAGCTGCTCAGACATGTTCAGCAGCACAAACCTATGTGAGCACCTGTTGTCATCTAATGTTGTCGTTATTATGATGAAGATGAACAAAACAACAGGAGTCTCCTCCTCAGCTCAGATCAACCCCATGATGCAGGTATCTGGCTGGAACAGGTGAGCATCACAGTAAACCAGTGGAGCAAACTGAGCTTTAAATATGTTGGTTTTCTGCTCTTTTTCTGCTCCAAAACATGAAAGTTAACAGGTGAGATGTTGCATTTTCATTTAAGATAAAATGATATTTTTATTTTGTTGTTGGCCCGTGAGAAAAGATTTAACCTACAGTAAACAGGAAGTGTAAAGGCTGCAGATAGATGAATAGAATAGAAAATCCCTTTATTGTTCCTCAGTGGGGAAAGCTAGACGTCACAGCAGCGATGACATTTATTACAGGAGAAAAAAGGAGAATAAAAAATAAGAAAAATGAATAAACAAGAAAACATAAATCCTGAATAGATTTTAAAAATGCTGATTATACCACAAGTAATGAATACCACTGATGCTTTTTATTTAAAACTGACTTGCTCGTGTGTAATTTGGTTATTCCACATTCAGTGTTAATGCAGAAATATGTTTGTTTCCAAATTTAAAGGTTCAAAATTGCATACATGTTGATAAAGAAAATGTGCAAATTTGCCGTCACTTTTTCAAAAAATATTAAGTTTGGCCCTCGACTCCGTCCCAGAGTCTCATTTCGGCCCTGTGTGAGTTTGAGTTTGACACCCCTGGTTTAGATGACTTTTGTTTTGGAAAAGGACATTATTACGCACAAAGATTGAGGTTTGTGTGCGTTCCTGCAGGTACGCTGCTGATGGTGGACAGCGAGGAGGAGTATTTCCCCGAAGAGATCACAAAGCTGAGGAGAGACATCGACAACGGGTTGTCGCTCATCGTCTTCAGCGACTGGTACAACACCTCGGTGATGAGGAAGGTCAAGTTCTACGATGAGAACACCAGGTAGGAAGGCCCACAGCGGACTTAAGGGTTAGAGAGAAAAGTTCTCAACAGTATCGGGGAAAAAAACGATCAAATAATAATGTTGTGGTTCACTGAAAAAATATTTTAAATGATTATTTCTTATTTTAACGGGTCACCCTTGAGTGTTTCACACAGGCTAAACATGAAAATAGTCTCCTACAGCTATCTCCAGCATTAGCTTCTGATAGAAAACAGACGGTGAAACTCTAGGATTAGAAAATCCTGACAGATCTACGTCACCCTGTCACTTATGGACTCACCCATCTGACTCAGGACGGGGAAGGCTGTTGTTGGTTTAGCGTCCAGGAAACGGCAGAGAATGCCTCAGCTAGTAGAAGCTAATGGTTACCATTAGCAACTCCACCACTAGAGCTGCCACGATTAATCGCCGCGTCACAATGACGTCAACAAACAAAATAGTCAACAATTCCTTGTTTATTCTATGAGCAGTTTGTTAGTTGTTTTTTTTTTTTATCTCGCCTGCTGCGGCACCTTCTGCTGCTTTCTGCCTTTCTCCTTGAGGCTCATGCTCAGTAGTCCCCTTCCGGATCAGCCTTCGGATCACCGGAGAGAGAAGTCGTCATGGCGAGTTGGCAACTTACAGTCCCTTTCAGAACTTTGCACAGATGTCAGGATACCACGACTGCTTTGACAGTGAGTGATGTCACTGATCAGCGCCAAAAAGCATCCACAGTAACAAAAACATTAAAAGCATTTATTCTATTGAAGTACAGTCAGGTCCATAAATATTGGGATATCGACACAATGCTAACATTTTTGGCTCTATACACCACCACAGTGGATATCAAATGAAACTAACAAGATGTGCTTTAACTGCAGACTGTCAGCTTTTATTTGAGGTATTTACATCCAAGTCAGGTGAACGGTGTAGGAATTCCAACAGTTTGCATATGTGCCTCCCACTTGTTAAGGGACCAAAAGTAACGGGACAATTGGCTTCTCAGCTGCTCCATGGCCAGGTGTGTGTTATTCCCTCATTATCCCAATTACAATGAGCAGATAAAAGGTCCAGAGTTCATTTCAAGTGGGTTATTTGCATTTGGAATCTGTTGCTGTCAACTGTCAAGATGAGATCCAAAGAGCTGTCACTGTCAGTGAAGCAAGCCGTCATTAGGCTGAAAAAACAAGAAACCTGTCAGAGAGATAGCAGAAACATTAGGCGTGGCCAAAACAACAGTTTGGAACATTCTCAAAGAGAAGGAACCGAGTAGCGCGACTCGGGTTGCGAATGATCACAGTCACCGATTCTTGTCATGTGTCTGTATGTCTGATCTCAGAAGTGTGTGTACTGAAACTCTAATTTCCCTCTGGGATTAATAAAGTATCTTTGAATTGAATTGAGTTCCTGTTAGAGACCACTGCATATTACTGATTAAACGAGTTTCCCGCACCTTTAAAAGCAATTTAAATTTAAGCGAATCGGACAACTAAGGATTGACATTCGAAGCCATTTTTGAAAAAAACACTTTTTATTTTACTTGCATGAAAAAACATGAATGAGTTTATATTAGATCTGTTCCTGAATTCAGACTTGATGTTCCTGTTGGCAGCATCCGGACACACCTGAGATTTAAACCAGCTCCTGTAGAGCTGCAGCTTCTGCGTAGCTTACCCCGGGTTTCCACGGGAGCCGTCAGCAGCACGTTACTGCAGCAGCACGTCTTGCTCGCGTAAACTGCTGCTTGGCCCTTCCCACGAGACGCGAAGCAGCAGGGGAGCAGCTGTCACTGACCGAGCACGAAGTCACACGAGTGACTTCGTCAGTAAACACAACAACAAGCAGGAGAAAACTACAACATGGTTTGTGTTTTATGTTCTGTCTGTTTTATAATCGCCAATACGAACCTGAAAAACAAAGGAGACCGCTAGCTAGGTGATAACTTCTCACGGGGACGCACAGTTAGTAACCTTTTTTAAAAGTAAAGCAACCGGAAAACAGTACGTTCTTTATTCTGAAAATCTCGGGAGCTTCTCTCAATTTCCGCGTCCGATTTCCTGTCTTTCCGTCCCCAAAAATGTCGAACTTGACCCGTTTCAGAGGCGTCGCGCGTAGAAAATAGAACCGTCGCGTAAAGGCCGCGACATGCTGCTCCTGAGACGCGGCCGACTCGCGCTGCTGACGGCTCCAGTGGAAAAGGTTCTGTTGACCACAGCGGTTCCTATCAGCAGCTATGACGTGCTGCTGCAGTAACGTGCTGCTGACGGCTCCCGTGGAAAGCCGGGGTTAGAGTCGGATGTGGTGTTGGAGGTGGAAGGAAACATGAAAGCAGGGCTGTGCAGAGACCTTTGAAGGGGCGGGTGCTCAAATTTAAAAAGGGGCACACAGATTAATATTTTCAAACACCATGACACAACCACAGTACACCCGGCTGAATAACAAATCATATTTATTAGAAATTCAAAATGGAAGCGAATCATTACATACACCATTACCACATAAGGACAATGTAAAGCAAAAGTAACTTGTTTTGGTCTGTATTTGTATAATCCTTCTTGGGGTTCTACAACCCCCCAAGGAACATTACAACACAGTCAGTCATTTACACACACACACACACACACACGCACACATTAACACACTGATGGTGATGAGCTATGATGTAGTCATATCTGCTCTGGAGCGCCTTTTATAATTTTGCTTTTTTATTTTAATATTTTTAGCAGCAGACCATAATCTCATTTCAGTTGCAACGTCGTCAAATAGAATACTCGATTAATCGATGGAAGGTTCGATAGAATACTCGAATACTAAAATATTCGATGGCTGCAGCCCTAATCTGAATGTGTTTTGAGTCAAAAGGTAGAAGCTGTTTAGTATTTCAGCTCTAGGATAAAAGTAACGCCCCCCCCCCCCCCCACACACACACACACACACACACACACACCTGTGTGATAAATGTTGTATCACCCCGCTAGCGCCTTTATCAGGAGCTATCGTTCTCTAATGATTGTTAGATAAAGCTCGGTTCTCCGTCTCTGAGCCTTATTTATGTCCTCGCTCTCCTAATAGATCTCATGCATCATGATCCTCAGACTCGGAGCTGCACAGAGAACCATTCTTCGCCGCGGCTTTGTTCTTATCAGAGAATAATGAGCACAGTTTCATGGCTGTAAAACAGTGGTTCCCAACCTTGGGGTCCCGACCCCCACAAGGGGGCGCCAAAGCCTCTCAGTGGGTCGCCAGGACCTCTCCACTTTAAGGGGTTAAAACTTCATTTATTACTTGTTTATAGCCTACATTTTGCTCACTTTTTTTCATGAGTGAAAAGTTTACTGATATTAAGACAGGAAATAATTAGTACAGAAAGAGTAACACACTTTTAAGAACATTTTGCTAAGCTCACTGTTTTATTTTTAAGTGTCAAAAGTTCATTAAAGATAGGACTGGTTGATTAATCACAGCCTTTACAGTAAATAATCTAGTATAAACAGTAATATACACATTTAAGTACATTTTGCTCAGTGTATTTTTTATGTGTCAAACATTTATTGAAAGGAATGCTTGATTTATCAGTGTTTATAAGAAACAATGTGTTCAGAAAAGTAAAACAAACTGTCAAGCACATTATGCTCTGTTTGGTTTTGTTAATGACTTTGTTCTGTACTGGAGCCTACTATTACTGTTATCTATTGAATCAAAGCATATTAAAATGTGCTTGAACAATTTTATCATTTCTTAATAATGTTTGTACTGGAAGAGAGAATGGGAGGGGGTCGTCAAAAATTTTACTGGTAAAAAACGGGGTCCCTTGGGAAAAAGGTTGGGAACCACTGCTGTAAAACATGCTGAGTGAATTATTTTCTACCTGAGTGTGAGTGTTACCGATGGTCTCTGCAGGCAGTGGTGGATGCCGGACACAGGGGGCGCTAACGTACCGGCTCTGAACGAGCTGATCTCCGTGTGGGGGATGGCCTTCAGCGACGGGCTCTACGAGGGCGACTTCACTCTGGCGGATCATGACAGTAAGACACAAACACACTCGATGTTCCCGTAGACTCCTCTGGTTTCACTGGATCAACCGGGTTCTGCTTCCGGGTTCCTTCCAGTGTACTACGCCTCCGGCTGCAGCATTGCCCGTTTCCCAGAAGACGGAATTGTAATTGCAAAGAACCTGAAAGACCAAGGTACCGGCACCCGCCTTCGAAAATATCAAACCCTCAGCGTTTCAGCGCTGGCCTGCAGCCACGGTGATCTGTGTGTGTGTGTGTGTGTAGGTCTGGAAGTGTTGAAGCAGGAGACCGCCGTGGTGGAGGGAGTTCCCATCCTGGGACTGTACCAGACGCCGTCAGACGGCGGAGGTCGCATCGCTCTGTATGGAGACTCGAACTGCATCGACGACAGCCACAGACAGAAAGGTGACCTGATCTCCCGCGCGAGCATCAGACCGCCGACCCGAGCTTTGCTTGATCTCTCGTGTGTTTTTCAGACTGTTTCTGGCTCCTGGACGCTCTGCTGCAGTATACTTCCTACAGTATGACCCCCCCCAGCCTCAGCCACTCCCACAGCAGAGTAGCACCGCCCACAGGCATAGAGCACCCACTCCCACAGAGACTGGACGGTGAGGACGGACTCTCAGATACTCATTATTGATCTTTTAGGGCAGACGGCTCAGCTCTGTCGGGTGTGAAACTGAGTCGGGTTATTATGACATCATTCAGTGAGATGATGTCATAATATTCTGACTCAGATGTCTGAGGAACAAACTTATTTCTTTTTTGTTAACTCTGAGTTTCGCAGCAGAACTCTTCCTCCTCTTGGCTGCTTCTCCGGACATTTCTATAAAATATTCCTTCCGTCCCACAGGGAACCATCTGTACCGCTACTCTAAAGTTCTGGAGGCTCACTTGGGAGACCCTAAGCCCCGCCCCCTACCAGCGTGCCCCCACCTGTCTTGGGCCAAGCCACAGCCTCTCAATGAGACGGCCCCCAGGTACAGTCATCGTTGAAACTACGTTTCCCAGAAGTCACCTGTTAGTCAAACGGTTTCACTAAGGTCAACGTTCACACCTCCTGTTGTCTCTGCTGCGCAGTAACCTGTGGAAGCACCAGAAGCTTCTTTCTGTGGATCTGGACAAAGTGGCTCTGCCCAACGTCAAGTCCTACCGTCCCCAGGTCCGTCCTCTGTCTCCTGGGGAGAGCGGGGCCTGGGACATCCCCGGAGGTAACGGAGGTTTCACTTTAGGAGGTTTTAGTTTGTGAATCCAGTCACCGAGTAGAAGAAATGATGAAAAAACCGCGTTTGTATCGGTGGTGCAACAAGTCCAGGGGTGTTTCTCACTGTCAAGGCGCCGTGCTTACGAGGACGCGGCCCTTCCTTGGTCAAAGAAAACGGTTAAATGGAACAGACTTGCATCACGTGACCTCGGCTTCCTCGGCGGTCACGTGACGTCACGTAACCCGGGAGATAACGTTATATTTTATATGTATTAGTTTCATTATAAATAAATAACGAGACTTTTACTTTTTAAATTGTGTAAATGTTTATTAAATTAAATATATAAGTGAGTTACTACCCGCTAGCCACCGAAGCTGCAACTGCTAAACAACTAACCAACCATAGATAACTTCTTTGGCTCCAAAGAAAACATTTTAAATTAGCTGACTTACTTTTAAACTTGAAATTTGTCCCCGAAGTAGCTGCCGGCTTCTGATCCGCCGTCTTTTTGAAAATACTGTGGTGTATTGTGGGTAATTTTTGACCACGGCTAGGCTACAAGACCCCTCCCGTGTATCCTCGCTCAGCTAGCTAAACGGCTAACAAACGGAGAACACACGCCTCGGTAGAACATGAACATTGGAGCGTGTCTTGGCGGCTCCCGATGACGGATCTCCTAGGCAACCGGGGCGGGGCCAAGACATCAAGGCAAGGTTCCTTGACATCGAGAAACACCCCAGCATTCATCATCGGAACTGGCGCTGCAGCCTGATTGGATGATTTCTGCAGGTCGTCGGACCCTGCTTTTATTATCAGTTAGCTTTTTGCAGAGTTACTGAATAACTTCTGAAGTTATTTTATTGGTTTACAGCAAAACAAAGCAAGGCTTCAACTGTGACCTTTCCCCCTCCCTCCCTTTTAGGGATAATGCCGGGTCGCTACAACCAGGAAGTGGGTCAGACCATCCCCGTGTTCGCCTTCCTGGGAGCGATGGTCGTCCTGTCCTTCTTTGTGGTCCAGCTCACCAAAGCTAAGGGCAAACCCAAGCGAAGGAAACCACGCATCAAACGGCCCACGTACCTTCAGCAGCAGACGACGGCGACAACGGTGGCTCCTGGGAAAACCCCCACCGTGTGACAGCTGCCGGATCAAACAGGCAGCTGTGTTTTTAACCTTCCAGAGGCCTCTGGACATCCTGGGAACCGTTTTTGTGCCTCTTGTCCTCTGAAGGTTGTTGGCGTTTGTGTGTCTCTGGACCATTTGACAGTATTGAGACAACCCCATGATGGACTCGGAACAGGACCCAGTCAGTCCAAGTGTCCGTTTCCCTCCGTCTAAACGGTTTCTTTATGTATAAAATAACGTTACTTTTATATTTATTGAGCGTGACTCGGACCCGCCGCAGCTTTCAGTCACAGGATCTGTCGAGTCGGTGCCTGGTTTTCTACGTCTAACCGGCTCTTTGTTGTTTTTATGTTTTATATGACGGATGAACTCTGAGCACGTCTCCTGTTGGAATCATCCCTCGTGATCTTCACGGTCAGAACAGTGGCTTTGATGGACTCGTTCAGACATGTCATCAATAAAAAAGCAGAATTCCGAGTCAGCTGTTTAATATTGTTTATGTTTGTTCTGTTTTTCATCTCCGTGACGACATTCGCTCCAGTATTTATTTGATTAATGCAAAAATTATCTAAAAATGTGCCGAAGTTCTCGTGTCCAGCTGCCACAGGGACACCTAGTGGCCACCAGCGGTGTTGCAGCTCCTCTGCAGGAGGTTGGTTGTGCAGGATGTGAGCGTGCTTCAGGGATTTTTAGCAGATTTGTCCAAACATCCGATTTTCTGCCTTTCTCAAGAGATTTTAAGGATAAATTCTGGGTTTTATGTTTCTTTTCACTGATTGTGTCCATTTTTTTCCTGAGTGGTGCTTTAGATTCAGACGGCTGCTTTGCACCTTTGCTTTAATGGTATAAAGGAAACAATTAATGGTTCAGTTTGTTTTAAGTGAGGTAAATTTTCAGAGCATCTTTCATCCTTTTGTTGTTTTTGCTTGTTGCTGCATAAACAAGTGATGGAAGCAGTCTGAGAAACTTTAACAAGAAGAAGAAAGGAGCACATTCCTCCTGCTGAATCACATTCTTCCCTTTTTTTTTTTTTTTGGTTTTCGATTGAAAAGACCAATTGCATTCCTTTCTGAGGAGTAACTGCAGATTGAGTGGACAAATCCAGCCCAGTCCTGAGTTTGGGATTGGTTCTGGACTGAATTCAGTGATGCAGGTTGATTTCATCAGAGGTGATGCTCGGCGTGCTGAGCTTTGGCTCCTTATCTGAGCCTAATTGGTCAGATCCGCCTGTGAATCTGTCACCTGTCCTCTGGGATGATGGGCCCGCTCCAGAGTTAATCTCTCTTGGAGCCTTGGGAAAGTGGGAAATCGCCCCTGAGCCAGCTGGCTGTGTTAACGAGATTTGGGAAAGCTGGCGGTGAGGGAAGGTCACATGTACCGTTTCCCTCCCAAGGTTCCCAGATGGAAGAACTTCCCGTTGGACCAACCAGGTCACCTGGAAGGAACAAGGTGACGGCGGCTCCGAGCCAAACATCTCAGGTCTTTTGTCCAGTACCAGTCCACGTTCGACACCCAGGCGTCCTGTCCCACCTGCTCACATGTCCTTTCATCCACCTTCACGTCTTACTGTTCGGAACTGAATGTTCTGACTGAGCCGAGCTCAAAAAGCGGATCTGAACACGTGACGATCGACTCAACGATTCGTGTCAGAGTCACTTCTGGACAAGACCAGATGAACTTAATAATTCTCGGACTGGAAGCATCCTCCTCATCGCCTCTGTAGAAGATAATTGATCAGAATTAGGGTTCTGCATGTATAAAAACACCCACTTCACTCGGCTCCTTAACCTGCAGGCTCTTGATACCCCGACTGCAGCAGAAAATTAATTTAGTTGTTTTTTCCATTTTCATCCATGAAATTAAAACCCAAAAACTCCCATTTCAGAAAGAAGATTCCTATTTGGACATTATTGCAGGCGTGAAGTAGCCTGGCAGGTCAGACCAAAGAAAAACTTTATTTAGAGCAAGAATTTGGTCCAGGGGTGCGAAGCTCCAGGTTTTGTATCTTTAAATGAAATCTGTGCATAAAACTCAATAATGTGCCTGTTTTATACAGACTGATGACAAATTATGCAGAAAAAAATTCATCCGATCCTAAAATTAAGCTCTTGTTGAGTAGAAGGAGAGTTTAGAGTTGAGTTCTGGAGGTTTTCTTTGATTCTGAGTTTTATGTAGAAGATCCTTACGTCCCCTGGCTGAGAGGAAGATCAGCACCTCTAAACCCGAGTCCCTGGTGTCTCTAAAACGGTGGATTTCCATCTTGGTTGGGAATGAAGTACAGCTGCAGATTCCTGGTAGGCGACGGTTCGGGGGCCTTCGTCCGCAGCTCCAAGGACGTGTACCAGTCTGTGGTGGTGAAGTTGGGTCATCGTAAAGGAAGGTGTTGATTTACAGATGGAGCTACGTTCCAAGCATCACCTCTGGTCATGAGCTGTAGGTGAAGAGCTGAGGACTCGTCCCTAAAGGAAGGGTCGCTGCTCCTCCACATCGAAAGCAGCAAGCTGAGGCAGTTCTGGCATCTGGTAAGTATGGAGAGGAGACGTTACTGCAGAGGCTCGTATCCGCTAGCTGGTCTGGAAATAGATTGGCATTCTTTCAGATGAGGCGGCATGGGGAGGATGTCTGGAACTATTAAGTTGTCATCTTTGACCCAAGTCCTGGAGAAAAGGTGAGGTAGATGGATCAGGCAAGAGTCCCCAGCTACAGAGAAGAACTAAAACCACAAACTAAACATTTTGTTTCGTGAACTTTTATTTAGTCAAATCTACTAAAAATGTCAGAAGAAATCCCAGCTTGACTTTAATAAAACCCATCTTGGCACGACGAGGCGGTGAAGGAGGTGATGCTCTCGGAGCGGTCTTGTTGAGTCTGGCTGTAGAGTTTTGGACCGACTGGATGAGTGGGAGAGTCTGGCAGGAATGAGTAAACAGAAATAGGAATAAACATGGATATGGCTGTCGTCCCACACAGACACATTCTGTTTCTATCCTTGACCTGAAAACACATCTAAACATTTTGAAATGTTCAAACCTCTGGATAGAAGATGTTTTGAACAGTCCATGCATTTCTAATGTTTGTTGATGTTTTGACCCTTATGAGAAAGTGCAGTGTGATGGGTGACAGTGGGCAGGAAAAGCCTCTTTTAACAGGAAGGATGCTCCAGCAGAACCAGAACCCGAATGTGGCTGACCACTGCAGCGTCGGGGTGAGTGCTCAGCCAGTGCGTTTTAGAAAACCCAGTTATTGCCTCAGTTCGACTGAAGTTGGACTTTTAAATTCATGCAGGCCCGGTGGGGCAGCAGTCGCTCAACAGGTTGAGCGGGTTGTCCAGTAATCGGAAGGTTGCAGGTTTGATCCTGGCTCTGGACAGAGAATTCTGCTGTTGTGTCCTTGGGCAAGACACTTAACACAACTTGCCTGCCGGTGGTGGTCGAATGGACTGGTGGTGCCAGCGCTCGGCAGCCTTGCCTCCGTCAGTGCGCCCCAGGGCAGCTGTGGCTACATTGTAGCTCATCACCATCAGCGTGTGAATGATGCACTGTAGTGTAAAGTGCTTTGGAGTCCTCTAATTCTGAAAGGCGTGATACAAGTGTGGGTCATTATCATGTCAGTGCTTTCAGCAGAATTTAGCAACAAGAGTAAACAGAATCCTTAAAGTTAAAACGGAACGGAATTATAAAAATATCCCAACAACTTTAGTTTTAATTCATATATAATAATAAATACTGATAGAAAACGTCAGTTTTACCTTTAACTGTTCAAGTATTGTGCATTAAAGAACATATTCCCCATTTCAAACGCAGATGAAGTGAGAAGCTGAAGTTTCCGAGCTGCACCTGAATGCAGCAGACCCATCCACCCACCCCTGTCCGCCTCCAGCCGGCTCACCTTGCTCGGTGAGCGGCTGTGGCTGCTGAGGCACATGCTGGACTCACCCACCGGCGGGAGCATGGAGGAGTTGGCCCGAGAGAGCATCAGTCTGCTGGCTTCAGCCTCAGCCAAGTCCCCGCTGGACCCCGGGCCCCGGCTGGGCTCCGCGGGGTCCGTCTTCATCATGCTGAAGTCCGCTCTGGGCGCCGGGCTCCTCAACTTCCCCTGGGCCTTCGAGAGGGCCGGGGGTGTCCGCAGCGCGGTCACCGTGGAGCTGGTGAGACTAAACACATTACTTTAGTATTTTAATAAGTTTTATGTTTTATTTATTCGGTTAATTTAAAGGTTTTTGTTTATTCTAGGGGAGGTCTCTCATCATGGGAGCAGATTAGTGATTAGTTTCACCTGAGAGGTCAGCAGGACTCGGCCTGAGTTTTCTTTTCACCGAAACATTTTATATTCCGACATCTCAGAAATGTCGAAGCTAATTTAGCATCTGTATTTTAGTTCATTCATTTACTTCTCCCAGTTTTGGTCGGATAGGAACGTACCAGGGAAAACAAAATATCACGTCCAGTAAAAGTTGAATTTGCAAGAAGAAAAATATTTCCAGAAATAAACAAATGAAATGATAATGAACAGTGGCGGCTGGTGAAAAATATTTTTGGTGGGGCTGTGCTATTTTTTTTAAAACAAACTTGTGCTTTCTGAGCTTTGTGCACAACTTCACTATTTCCTGAATTAAGCACAGCTCTTTTATTTCCTGTCTTACATTATTGGACAAAGGGATTAATCCACGTGTGTCTGACTATTGGCACACTGCCTTGCGGACCAAGGTTGAAAAATACTGCATTAAATTGCACATAAAATAACATGACCATATATGGTCCACATCCACATTACTGTTTGTGAAACTAACATACTGGAGAATTTCATCACAATAATATTAAATAAACAAGTATGTACCTGATCTTTTGCATGCTGTTGGTGAAGCTCTGGATGACTCCTGTGATGGAGACAGAGTCAATGTTCCTCTTCTGCAGCTGGTTGAACAGCATGTCCACATGTGGCATGATCTTGTGACACAATGCCAGCAGAAAGCCGAAATCTTCTTCCTCCAGCATTCTCACAAAGCCTCCTGCCTCTCTCTCAATGATTGGATCAAAGTCATCCGAGTCTCTGATCATCTGGAAAAATCTGAGGAGGTCATCCTTGTGCTCATACACTGTGTTGACATGTCTCTCTTGGACAAAATGTGCCGGTTCTGATCCACTTCTTCATTGTGTTTCTTCACTGCAAGCCTGTGCCCCTCGTCTCTAGCTGCATGGCAATGTTAGCTCTGCCTAGCATAGCTAGCTTCACCGTGTTGTTGTCCATGTGTGCCCGGGATAACTCATGTTTCTTCACCTTCTCAGAAAAATGCTTCATGTCCGTAACTCCTGACTTAATCCATGCCTTATCTGTCCCAGTCGTTTTGAATAACAAACACGGAAAGCAAAATAACGCATTAGCGTGATTGCATCCAGCTAGCCAAGCCTTCCTGGTGTACCAATTTCGGGAGAAGCCTAGTGTGTACAGTTTACCTCTCTCCTTCTCCTGCTGGCTTATCTTTACGTCGGGCTGATCTGGTCCAAGCTCTTTGACATTAAGTTTTTCCACCATAGTTCTCCTCTCGAACGGATACTGGAGAAGAGACCGAACTGAATTCAGCGGCTGCTGAGATCCGGTATCTCACTGGCGGCGTCCATGTTACATCTGCGTCACGACCAAAAACGACTCTGCCGAGTTCTGCCGAGTTCTACCGAACCAACGAAAGCCTTTGGCGGTAGCTCTATCGCCCATCATGCTTCTGAAACAACGTCGACGCTGATTGGATACATTCCCATTCCTACCGTTTGATTTTCTTGTCAGCAATTGGTCGGCGGGTTCCGTCCTGTTTGGGCGATTCAAAAACAGCCTACAGCCTTTCTGTTGCCTCCACCGCTCGGCAGAGAGCTTCTCATCAATATAGATATATAAATATATGATTTGTTTTTGTTACAAAACACACAATTAACTTAGAATATGTGATTATTGTTAATTTTATTTATTTATTTTTTTAAATAAAAATTAAAAACACTGGGGAAAACTGGAAGGGGGGGGGCGCCCTATCGCCCTCTACTGGCCAGCCGCCACTGATAATGAAGCATCAGCTGAACTTCTTTTAATCCTTCACAATAAGAGTCTCAAACAACAGAACATCTCAAGCTTACAGATGCTTAGCATTCCTTTTTTCTGATGAACCGATAACTAGGGATGCACCGATCCGATACTGGTATCGGTATCGGTGCAGATACCGATACGATACTGGTATTGGTATCAGTAAAAGTGAACTGATACCAATGCAGTTGCTTGAAAAAGGCTTCACTGTAATTTGTCATTTCTGTTCACCTAATATTTTAGTTTTGTGATGATTTCTATTCATACATTTAACTTTATATCTACCTCACAGTCTTTTCATGTTGAAAGCAGAGAAGAAAATAAAATCTGTATTCCAAATCATTGCATTTTTTTGTGTGGTAGAAGTATCGGTAATCGGTATCGGCGAATATTCAGATCCAAGTATCGGTATCGTATCGGTATGGAAAAAAAGTGGTATCGTCGCATCCCTACTGATAACACGATTAAATGCTGCTAACTCGATGTATTGAATTAATGTTTTTAATACCTTGACTTACTGTTTTGCTCAGATCTCCCTGGTGTTCCTGATCAGCGGCCTCATCGTTCTGGCCTACTCCTCTTCCATCAGCGGTCAGTCCACCTACCAGGCGGTGGTGAAGAAAGTGTGTGGTCCGGCCATCGGGCAGCTCTGTGAGATCTGCTTCATCTTCAACCTCTTCATGATCTCCGTGGCCTTTCTGGTCATCGTGAACGACCAGCTGGAGAAGTGTGAGTGTACCCGATTCCCTCGACTAGATGGGTGACTTAAATTAGGCCCTCTCGATTCGCGGTCCAGTGGAAAACTGGCTTGCATATTTTGGTGGAACGCAAAAATTTTTAAGCCCAGCCTTAATTAATAAAATATCTAGTTTGATTAAAAAATGTTTTTTGCAGCAACATAACTTTACTATAAATAAAAACCACTGTTGCAGCTAAACCTTCCACATGCATTTTGTATCTCACTATTTATTACTAATTCTAAACGATGCCATCCATTTAATTCAGTTTATAAAGTGCCAAATCACGACGAGTCATCTCAAGGCACTTCACAAAGTAAGCATTCCAATACAGTTCTGTTCATTAAAGGTGCAGTATGTAAGAATATAATGAGAATTTTATAGTGAGAAAAACCCAAGAGAGTCTAATTTTTCAGTCACTTTGGAAGGAAGGTTATGCTGAAACCTGTTTCATGGCTGCAGGGATTAACAGTTTTCTTCTTTCTAAACAAAGGAAGGAGGGACGTAACTACTGTTGACCATCCGTGAGAGCCGGGTTGCCGTGTCTCCTGTGAGCTAATGCTGCAGCACCGACAGTTGTAATTTAACGATGGCTGGCAAAAAGCTCCAGAGCTGTTTAAAGTGGTTGCAGCAACCAGATTTACCACAGGATGTCATTTTTACGTCATTTCCTACATCAGTGTTTCCCAGCCCCGGTCCTCAGGGACCACTGTCCTACATGTTTTCCACGTCTCTGCTTCAGCACACCTGATTTACATTGGCTCCTCAGGAGGACATCAAGTGTTGCAGGTACCGATTAAATCACTCATTCATTTAGGTCAGGTGTGTGACAGCAGAGACACACTGGTGTTTGAAAGGGCAACATGGAAAGCATGCAGGACAGTGGTCGCTGAGGACCAGGGTTGGGAAACACTGCCCTACATAATGCACCTTTAAGCCAATCGGTAAAAAGTTTCCTATATAAGGAACCCAGCAGGTTGCATCGAGTCACTGGCTAGTGTCACTCCTTACAGCAATCCTCATACTAAGCAAGCATGCAGTGACAGTGGAGAGGAAATATTCCTTTTAACAGGAAGAAACCTCCAGAAGATCCTGGCTCATAAGCAGCCATCCACCACGACTCACTGGGGATGGAGAAAACACACACACACGCACACACACGTATTTCTATGGCTACATTGTGATTTCTTAGTAAATATTGTTTAGTAAGAGATACACTTTATCATCTTTATCTTGGTGAATCTATAGTTAAACGGGTAAACTAGTAGTAGCACATTCAATGTCAAAGAGAGGAAAGCGTTATTATCAGGAGAGAGAGAATGTATTAGTGGTTAGCAACAGTGTTCAAGCCGCTGGCCCCCTCCATGAGGCCACCACAGCTCAGCAGAACATCATTGTAGCTTCTTCTGGGGAGAAAAACACTTAGAGAAAAAATAAAGTTAACAGCTGAAATAACAGGAAATAGTACAGTTAAAGAGCAGACTCTAGAAGGAAGTAGTAGAGTGTGAAAAGTGGTCAGTGTATCCTCCAGCAGTCTAAGCCTATAGCAGCATAACTACAGAGATAACTCTGGATAACCTAGCCTTTTAGATGGAGGCATGTTGGAGGCAGGGCAAGGGAGAGCCGTCTTTACCAACTGTACACTCCACCTCCCTCTACTCCCCCACTTGTCCAGATCTAGGCTAACATCAGATTTTAACCATAGGCCCTATCAAATAAAAATGTTTTAAGCCTAGTCTTAAAAGTAGACAAGGTGCCTGCTTCACGAACTAAAGCTGGGAGTTGGTTCCGCAAGAGAGGAGCCTGATAACTAAAAGATCTGCCTCCCATCCTAATTTTAGATGTTCTGGGAACCACCAGTAAACCTGAGAGCGAAGTGCTCGGTTAGGAACGTATGCAATAATCAGGTCACTGATGTATGATGGAGCTTGATTATTAAGAGCTTTATATGTGAGAACTAGGGATGTCCCGATCCGATCACATCATCAGAAATCGGCCCCGATCACGTGGTTTCAGACTGGTTGCTTTAATTCCCGATCCGTACTCGGATACTGGGTTCAAATTACAGGAGAGCAACTTGGTTCTCCTTAAAGGTTGTCGGGCTCCCCTGATGCCCTTAACTTACACACCCAGAAGGAGCACAAAGAGATCCATTTTCTACCTTTATTATATTATTTATATGGACTCAGCGTAGCGGGGATTCTTTTAGAGCAGAGCAGCAGGCAGACCGCTGATCATTCATGAACTCCAGCTGCGTTCTGCACACGGCCACAGTAACATTTTCTAAGTTTCTAAGTGGCGTCGCCAAAAATATACAATTAACACACAGTCGTTCGTGTCCGTTCATTTTCTCTCTGGTAAGTTCTGTCTGTATTTGAGTATGACGTGTGGACGCGCTCGCGCTGCAGCGCTCGTCACCGGCGCGGCGCACGCTCTGCATTTTTTGCGGTCAATAGATCAATTTGATCTGCTGGTTAAAAAGTTACTTGTGAGGTGAAAAAGAAGGAAGCAGGCAGGAGTTTTTCTGGAGGACTGGGAGATGCAGGAAGATCAGAGACAGACAGGACAGGAAGGTCAGAGACAGACGGGACAGGAAGGTCAGAGACAGACAGGACAGGAAGGTCAGAGACAGACAGGACAGGAAGATCAGAGACAGACAGGACAGGAAGACCAGAGACAGACAGGACAGGAAGATCAGAGACAGACAGGACAGGAAGATCAGAGACAGACAGGACAGGAAGATCAGAGACAGACAGGACAGGAAGACCAGAGACAGACAGGACAGGAAGATCAGAGACAGACAGGACAGGAAGATCAGAGACAGACAGGACAGGAAGACCAGAGACAGACAGGACAGGAAGATCAGAGACAGACAGGACAGGAAGACCAGAGACAGACAGGACAGGAAGGTCAGAGACAGACAGGACAGGAAGGTCAGAGACAGACAGGACAGGAAGGTCAGAGACAGACAGGACTGGAAGGTCAGAGACAGACAGGACAGGAAGATCAGAGACAGACAGGACAGGAAGGTCAGAGACAGACGGGACAGGAAGGTCAGAGACAGACAGGACAGGAAGGTCAGAGACAGACAGGACAGGAAGATCAGAGACAGACAGGACAGGAAGACCAGAGACAGACAGGACAGGAAGATCAGAGACAGACAGGACAGGAAGATCAGAGACAGACAGGACAGGAAGATCAGAGACAGACAGGACAGGAAGACCAGAGACAGACAGGACAGGAAGATCAGAGACAGACAGGACAGGAAGATCAGAGACAGACAGGACAGGAAGACCAGAGACAGACAGGACAGGAAGATCAGAGACAGACAGGACAGGAAGACCAGAGACAGACAGGACAGGAAGGTCAGAGACAGACAGGACAGGAAGGTCAGAGACAGACAGGACAGGAAGGTCAGAGACAGACAGGACTGGAAGGTCAGAGACAGACAGGACAGGAAGATCAGAGACAGACAGGACAGGAAGGTCAGAGACAGACAGGACAGGAAGGTCAGAGACAGACAGGACAGGAAGGTCAGAGACAGACAGGACAGGAAGGTCAGAGACAGACAGGACAGGAAGGTCAGAGACAGACAGGACAGGAAGATCAGAGACAGACAGGACAGGAAGACCAGAGACAGACAGGACAGGAAGATCAGAGACAGACAGGACAGGAAGACCAGAGACAGACAGGACAGGAAGGTCAGAGACAGACAGGACAGGAAGGTCAGAGACAGACAGGACAGGAAGGTCAGAGACAGACAGGACTGGAAGGTCAGAGACAGACAGGACAGGAAGGTCAGAGACAGACAGGACAGGAAGGTCAGAGACAGACAGGACAGGAAGGTCAGAGACAGACAGGACAGGAAGGTCAGAGACAGACAGGACAGGAAGGTCAGAGACAGACAGGACAGGAAGGTCAGAGACAGACAGGACAGGAAGGTCAGAGACAGACAGGACAGGAAGGTCAGAGACAGACAGGACAGGAAGGTCAGAGACAGACAGGACAGGAAGGTCAGAGACAGACAGGACAGGAAGGTCAGAGACAGACAGGACAGGAAGGTCAGAGACAGACAGGACAGGAAGATCTGAGACAGACAGGACAGGAAGACCAGAGACAGACAGGACAGGAAGGTCAGAGACAGACAGGACAGGAAGATCTGAGACAGACAGGACAGGAAGACCAGAGACAGACAGGACAGGAAGGTCAGAGACAGACGGGACAGGAAGGTCAGAGACAGACGGGACAGGAAGGTCAGAGACAGACGGGATAGGAAGGTCAGAGACAGACAGGACAGGAAGGTCAGAGACAGACAGGACAGGAAGGTCAGAGACAGACAGGACAGGAAGATCAGAGACAGACAGGACAGGAAGACCAGAGACAGACAGGACAGGAAGATCAGAGACAGACAGGACAGGAAGACAGGAAAATAAAAACCAAGAAAACAAAACAAAGTTCTTAATAAAGTGTAGGTAGATTGATCCCACTACATGTTTGTACCCGTATAAAGCAAACATTTATCAGCATGTAGTATTTATATCGTTGATACAATTCAGATCATCTTCAAAACTCCGGCCCATGCCCCAGGGGCGTATCCAAGCATTTTGGGGGCCGAGGCAAAGTAGACCCCTGCCAGGTATTTTAAGCTGAAGTGCTATCCAGCTCAGTGGCCTAGTAGAGTGTCCGCCCTGAGACTGGGAGATCAGGGTTCGATTCCTGGTCGGGTCATACCAAAGACTTTGAAAAAAAGAGACCCAATGCCTCCCTGCTTTACACTCAGCATTAAGGGGTTGGATTGGGGGGGTAAACCACCAAATAGTTCCCGAGTGTGGCTGTGTCTGCTGGGTTATAAAGCAGGCTGGTGTAATGAACCGCCAGCGCTACCCCCCCCCCCCCCCCCCCCCTTAAAAATGTGTCTCAACGTACCGCATGTGACTGCGCCATCTAGTGGACAACTATTGCTTCTGCCAATACCTGTAGATGTCGTCCATTTATCGTTATCGAGGTGAAATCCTCATATTGTGATATTGGTTTTAGGCCACATCGCCCAGCCCTAGGAACTATTAATTGGTAAGGGATTGATTAATTCAATTCAATAATTTATTTCACTCAAAGTTTAAATATACAAACTTCAAATCAGAATATAAGCATTCGAGTGAAATAGGGGGAGGAAGAAGAAAAAGTCTTATATGACCTACCCCCTTTAACTAAGACAAGATAAATAACAAAAAGTACAAAATAGCCTTATACACAAAAAATAAACCGCTCTCTTACTTCCACAAATAATATCACTACTAAAACATTAATCCTCCATCCTCAACTCACCAAATCATACGATTTTAGCATTTTATCTTTATACATTTTTTTGAATTGATCAGTAGATGTACATTTTTTTAATTCATCATCCAGGTTATTCCATAATTTCACACCATATATTGAAATACACATTTGCTTTAATGTAGTACGAACAAATATCCTTTTAAACTCTGGTTTCTTTCTACTCTTATCATTTTTTGGGATTAAAACAAAGAACCTTTGTAGATTAGTTGGCAGCAAATTATTTCTAGCCTTAAACATAATTAGTAAAATTTTCAAGTTAACTAAGTCTTTGAATTTCATAATTTTAGATAGAACAAAATATTTGTTAGTATGTTCTCTTGGATTTGCTTCATATAGAATTCACAAAACTTTCTTCTGTAACAGAAACAAAGGATTAGTGTTTGTTTTATACGTATTGCCCCAAACCTCAATACAATAAGTTAAGTATGGAAAGATAAATGAATAATATAATGTCTGAAGCGTTGAAATTTCTAGAAAACCTTTGACTTTGTTTAAAATTCCAATACTTTTGGATATTTTTTGTTTTATATATTTTATATGGGATTTCCAAGTAAGTTTATGGTCCAAGAGAACCCCTAAGAATCTGACTTCATTTACTCTATCAATTAAAAAAACCATCAATAGTAGGGATGCACCGATAAGGTTTTTTGCTGCCGATCACCGATACCGATATCAAAGAATGCTGATCACCGATACCGATCACCGATACCGATCACGTGGATTGGCCAGAAATTTTCTACAACATTATAATGAGTGCTACAAACTACATAATCTGGGAATAAAGGAAATGTAACCTAATCTAAAATGGTCTGTATTCGGGTTGTCACGGTGTGAAAATTTAACCTCACGGTTATTGTGACCAAAATTACCACGTTTTTCGGTATTATCGCGGTATTTTTTTTAAACGTGCTACATTTTCACACAATTAAATAAACCCTGTATGTCAGGAAATATTGTCCTCAGTTTGTGTCTAAATTTTGCCTAAAATGTGTTATTTTGTAATTATATTGTTTATTTGTTTACATTTTTCCCCTTTAGTCTTTAAAATACCAATATTTGCCCATAACTTCTTATTTTATGTCTGTTTGATGTCATCATTTTAAAAATCTTAGATCAGATGATACTCATTACTCAAGTAGCCTTCTAATCAGATACTTTTTTACCCTTATTTGAGTAATAAACCCTATATCAGGAAAATATTGTCCTCGGTTTGTGTCCTTCCAGTGAGCTTTGCAGATGTGGGAAAATGTCATCAGGCAGTAATCGTTGTTAAATTCATAATTATTCTCGGAGAGAGACCAACTCTTATCTGCCCCTGGGAGCCTCGTAATGCATAGCGTCATTTCAACATGGGGGTGTCCGCGACACGGTTTATATGCAGGTAGCGGCGCTGCGGCTGCTTTATATAGCCACTCGTTGCATTCTCCCTCAACCCAAATCCTCGGATCACGCATTTGAGCTAAAACGCTAACGTTAGCTTGCCTTGCGTTGACTGTAGAGTTGTGGGTGATGGTCACGCAGATGTGTCATGAGATTTCAAGCGTTGCTGCCTTTCACACACACTTTTTCTGCACGTGCTGCAAACAGGATAGCCGTCCGTCTTCTATAAACTCCCTCGGCATTCTTCAAATATCTAAAAGATGCCCGTACTTCCGACTTTGTCTTCTTTGAGGGATAATAAATGTCCTGAGCGCTGCCGTCTCCTCCTTTGACCATTATTTCAGCTTTAGCTTCAAGAAAGTTTTGGTTGTAAACAAAGTGCGCATGTGCCGCCGGCATCTTCAGCCGATGATACGGTGGCTGGTAAGGGTCACCGCGCCTACACCGCAGCCACGGTAGACCCACCGAGATAATATAGTTTTTTAAAAAACAAGACGGTTATTATTATTGTCAACTTTCTTTTTTTTACCGGGGTTTAGCGCTACACTGGTTACCGTGACAACCCGACCTGATCGGTTTGCTTTGATCTATTTTGAAAATTCCGATCAAAACCGATAGGGGCGCTATCGGCCGATTACGATCAAATGCCGATCCATCGGTGCACCCCTAATCAATAGACAACGTAACTAAATCATTAGTTTTTCTGTTACCAAAAACCATGAATTTTGTTTTATTCCAATTGAGAAATAATTTATTGTCATTAAACCACTTCTTAAGTTTAGACATTTCACAAACCATATTTTGAATAATAATTTCTAAATCATTTCCAGAACAAAATATATTCGTGTCATCAGCAAATAGATCTGAATGGCAAATGGTCACTGGCATGCTCGACCACAAACGTCATGAGGAATCCTGTCTTTTCCGCCTTCGTCAGTTCTTCTAAACTTCTATTGGATGAATTTTCCATGAGTCACGTAGATCTTCCTCACCTTTTTATTTTTAGTTTAATCCTGGCTGTTTATCACTTCTAATGAACCTTTTCGGCAGAAGACCAGGTCCATTTGGATCCGCCCCCACGCTGATTTGCCTCCCCCCTTGTGGGGGTTGCTGGGGGTGTTTCCACTCCACTAAATGTGTGTTTTTCTTCCACCAGTGCGCGACTCGATGTATGAGCTGGCAACAGGTCTACCGACGTCAGACACGCAGCATCATTTCTACACGGACCAGCGTTTCCTCCTGCTGCTGCTCTGCTTCTTCGTCATCCTGCCGTTGTCGGTCTCCAAGGAGATCAGCATTCAGAAATACTCCAGGTTCTGTGTTTTAGTTGTTTTAATTCTTTCTGCGTCACGGTTAAAGATTTAGGTGGCTTTGAATGTGTCACTTGAATCCCAACAACGTCTCCTGCCCTTCAGTAGGATTCATAATGGAGAACAAATTCAGTTTATTCTTCCTCTGTTTCTCGTTTCTAGTTAATAATTTATTTTTCAATAATTTTTTCCGTCATCTGTCTTTTTCCCCACTTTATTTTCATTTCATTTTTTTTTTACTATCATTACCCTCCTTTTACTTCATCCCCCTTTACTTGGTTTACATCAGTGGCTTGGTTTTGGTTAAGTCCTTTTAATTTTCTTATTTACTCCAGTTTCCAGCTAATAAGAAAACGTATGTTGGATGTAAAAAAAACCACACATTCTAGAACAGGATAATTTCACACTGAGCTTTGAGATAGGTGATTTTATTTTGAAAGGGTGGCAGCAGCATGCCTCTGTAAAGTAAAAACCCGACCTAAGAAACCCGGGAAGTGTTGAAATGGGTGGTTTCGGGCTTTCCTGGAGCAGCTTCAGCAGCGTTGATGTTGTTTCAGCTGACTTGTGCATCATCCCGAGCCGGTGCTGCTGACATTATTGTTCATGTATTCATGTAGATAAATGACCTGCTGACTCACCCCCACTGAGGGCCTGAAGGACGTGTTTTGTTCTTTGTCCCCTCAGCGTTCTGGGGACTCTGGCTGCGACCTACCTGACCGTAGCCGTCATCATCAAGTACCACAGCCGGCCGGCTGCTGCGGTTCACAACACACCCCCGCTCCACTCCAGCAGGTACGTGTCCGTCCGTGTGTGTCGGTGCAGCTTTACTTAAAACTGTTAACTGGTAGTTTAAGTTCTGGTTCACCTGTTGAGTTTAGGAGCCTTTTGATATCTGAAAGTTTCAGAGACTAAAGTTAAAAATCATCATTTTTTAGGATCATTGACCTTCCTTTTTCACAAGTGTGTGTGTGTGTGTGTAGCTCATGGGCCTCGATGTTCAGCGTCGTTCCGACCATCTGCTTTGGTTTCCAGGTGAGTGCATGCCTTAAATTAAAACGTGTGTGTGTGTGTGTGTGTGTGTGTGTGTGTGTGTGTGTGTGTGTACTTGTCTTTAAATGTTTAGGTGGCCAAATTTAGACGTTATAGTGTGCGGACATTTCCACATTGTGGGAACATTTTGCTGGTCCACACAATGCTGCTAACCACCCTAAACTTGGTTTGGTGCTGCCTGGCTGGAAAAAGTTTCTGTTGTTGCAGCTACCACCTCTAAACAGTAGATGTCGCCAGAGTGTCCGTGTTCCATAGTCAACCCTTAACTCCAACTCATCAATCCCTTAAGCTGAATTTACAGTTTCTGTCTGACGGACCCTGATTTTAATGTCATTTTTCTTACCGTACCCTAATGAACTTCAAACAAAAGTACATTTCTGTCTCTTTTTGGACTAATGAAATGAAATGAAATCGTAAAGTAGGGCTGGGCGATGGGGCCTAAAATCAAAATTGCGATATATTGAGGATTTCACCTCTGACGATAAATGGACGATAACGACAGGTATGCGCAGAAACAAAAGTTGTCCACTAGATGGGGCTGTCACACAAATTGCGTTGAGTCAGTTTTGACTCAAGGTGGTACAGCTTCTTAAAAGGAACATGAACGCTACCAACCTACACACCTTTTCATTTTTGTATTATTAAATTTATTGACATGAGAAAAATGATCACGGTAGGAGTCAGAAATTTCGATGACGATAAATTTTCGATTTATTGCCCAGCCCTAGTCTAAAAAGACCCAAACTAAATATTTAAATGGAGTCATTGCAGGTACTGTTTTGCACCAGCAGGGGGCAGAGTGGTACCACCTAGTGTTGGGTGTCAAAATCAGAATTTTAACCAATTTTAACTATAGTTAATTTAGTTTAATATTGATTTTTATGTATCGTTTCAAAATAATAATATAGAAATAAAATGTACCGGGAAAAATTCAGTAAAATGCTTTTTTGTGCTTAGTTCTATTTCTTATTTAATTTTTCGCCCATAAATCATCAGAAAAAATATCTAGAATATCTAGAAATCTGAATTAAATATTCAGTGGACGAAAAACATTATGTACAGTGTTAAGCATGAATGAGTACACCCTCTTTTCAAAGTATGAATTTAATCAGCAGCTCAATGAACAAAGAACAGTTTCCAGAATGTTCACAAGGCTGGGTTTTATTGGACACTTGTTTAACTCCATAACAGGAAATTAAGGCTAATAATATAACTTCAAATCTTTTGTTTTGCTAAAATTGGTTGAAGAAAGAAAAACACCCCAATGTTTTGGATCATTGTTGTGTTGGAAAAGTGCACGGAGTGACGGCAGCAGCATCTTCTCCATCAGTATAGAGCAGCACATTGAGTTCATGCAGCCCCACATGAGGACACTGCCACCACCATGTTTCACTGTAGGCACCATGCATTTCTCTTTGACATCCTCACCTTTATGACGCCGTACAGTTTTGAAATGATTAGTTCCACAAACTGAGCTTTGTCTCATCACTCCAGAGTCGAGGAAATCATTTTAGGAAAATCACTTTTTTGTTTGGGCAAATTAACAAATCTGGTTTGCAATCGGTGGCCCGCATTTGTGGGAGTATTTTGTAGTTTGGTGTTTCATAGAAGATGTTGATTCTGAAAGGAAACTAAAGGTTTTCTGACAAATGTAGTGTACTCATTTATGCTGAGTGCTGTACATGAGCCTGAGACACAAACCTGACATGTTCAAGAGCATTCTGGGATTTGTAGTGCGGGCCTAATCTGGGATTCACTCTGAACTTAACATTTCATTCAAATGTTTAGATGGTAGTTTCATAATTAAAAAATTTGACCAAAAATGGGGTTAGAAAGTCTCCACTTGACCAGGCCAGCCGGACGGCCATTTTCAGGAACTTCAAGTATTCCTGCTCAGGAGAAGGTACTCCGAACAGCCCGGTGGAGTATCTGAGCGGAACATTTGGTTAACTCACACTGATTGGTTGTAACTCGGTAGCAAATGACATCAGCAGATGTTGTCCAAAACAACTGGCAGTAGTAATATTAGAGGAGTTGCTAGCAAAGCAGAATGGTACCACAAGAAAAGAAAATCCAACTCCCCACACCTGAAAACATGAAATTCCCCCACAATGACCTAATTAACAGGCCTTTGTTGTCTCATGGAGCGTTGTAAAAAACAACACTTCTTCTGGTCATTGAACACCACATTTTACATCACACAGCAGCTCACGTCCTCTGAATGGATTAAATGATGTCATACAGTCAGGTCCATAAATATTGGGACATCGCCACAATGCTAACATTTTTGGCTCTATACACCACAATGGATGTCAAATGAAACGAACAAGATGTGCTTTAACTGCAGACTGTCAGCTTTTATTTGAGGTATTTACATCCAAATCAGGTTTGGTTTACATCTTGTGGTGAACCCTCTGTATTCACACTGGTGGAGTCTTCTCTTGGTTGTTGACTTTGACACAGATGGGGCTGCTCGATTATGGCAAAAACAATCATCATGACTATTGTGACTGAAATTGAGATCTCGACTATTTAAGACGATTTTTCAATTATTGTTGATTTTATTTGTTTTTATTCTGTCATAAAATTGCTCAGGGCACAATCAGGACAAAAAGAAATAAGAAACAAGATGATCACTAAAAGAACTCCTGGTTCCCAGTATAAAAAGACCAATATACTTATAGCTCATAGTCTATGACCCAAGGGCTATAGACCTTGGTTTAACTCATGTAAGTCTAACCAGTACAGACCCAAATACCAATATCTGGCAAATACTGACAGCAGGAATTATACAGTGGCATTTATAACAAATAAATGCAAATAAATTGCTGTTCACTAAATGTTGCATAACATTTATTGAGTCGTGTCAAGGTGCTGTAGGAGAGTGCACTAGCGCCGTGTCCTCAGAGAGATTAGTTATTATTTATCAGCGTGAGGAACTTATTTCTACCTTATTTATAAACTATTTATTTACAAGTCCATCAGTTAATGTAATAATTGTCCCAACCACAGCTGCACCCCCCAACCCGGTCTTACAGCAATCAGGGGCAAGCTGCACGTGTGTCTAGCTCGCCGCACGCGCACATTTAGCTGTGTTTAGCGGCTCAGGAGTCCGCAGGTGCGGTGTGTGTGTCACTCACTCTGGTTACTCCAACAGGGAGCCGGCTCTGAGAGCTGTTTCTTTAGCGACTGACACATCACTACATCATTCCCTTTCCTAATGCCCTGAAGAACGGTCCGGAGCGCAGGCGGAGTGTTTAGCTAACCTGCAGGAAATGTCAACGACAGTTATCCAGAAAGTAGCTAAGGGTTACCAGAGATGTTTCTGAGGTGTTCGCTAGGTACTTTTAAGAATTAAAAAGTCAAGAAGGGGGTCTGAAAAGCTGCTAGAAATAGCGTCAAAGTCACTAAGTTGGTGACACTGTAGGAGGAGCGCTTCATTTGTAACTCAGGGCAGCGCAAGTGGGAGGAGTAAATAATCGGCTTGTTTTGTTTTCATAATCGTTCAAAACTCAGATCGTAATCGTGATTAAAATTCGATCAATTGAGCAGCCCTTGACACAGATGCACCTACCTCCTGGAGAGTGTTCTTGATCTGGCCAACTGGTGTGAGGGTGTTTTCTTCACCAGGGAAAGGATTCTTCTGTCATCCACCACAGTTGTTTTCCGTGGTCTTCCGGGTCTTTTGGTGTTGCTGAGCTCACCGGTGCGTTCCTTCTCTTTGAGAATGCTCCAAACTGTTGTTTTGGCCACGCCTAATGTTTTTGCTATCTCTCTGACAGGTTTCTTGTTTTTTCAGCCTAATGATGGCTTGCTTCACTGATAGTGACAGCTCTTTGGGTCTCATGTTGACAGTTGACAGCAACAGATTCCAAATGCAAACAGCCCACTTGAAATGAACTCTGGACCTTTTATCTGCTCATTGTAATTGGGATAATGAGGGAATAACACACACCTGGCCATGGAGCAGCTGAGAAGCCAATTGTCCCATTACTTTTGGTCCCTTAACAAGTGGGAGGCACATATGCAAACTGTTGTAATTCCTACACCGTTCACCTGATTTGGATGTAAATACCCTCAAATAAAAGCTGACAGTCTGCAGTTAAAGCACATCTTGTTAGTTTCATTTGATATCCATTGTGGTGGTGTATAGAGCCAAAAATGTTAGCATTGTGGCGATGTCCCAATATTTATGGACCTGACTGTACTTCAATAGAATAAATGCTTTTAATGTTTTTGTTACTGTGGATGCTTTTTGGCGCTGATCAGTGACATCACTCACTGTCAAAGCAGTCGTGGTATCCTGACATCTGTGCAAAGTTCTGAAAGGGCTAGATTTGAATGGAGACACAACAGCTGCGAGGACTGGGACATCCCATCTCCTGGTCAATTTTCCCGTCCCAGAATTTAGCCTGGAGTTCTGGTAGTGGAAACACAGCTTTTGATGGTTGTTTTTCATCCATTAAGACCTGCAGATCATTCTGAGGAAACTTTATTTTTCTCATTGTCCTGTTCAATAAACTTTGATGACAGTTCAAATGAGACACATTTACATGTTTAAGCTGCTCCATGTTTGAGAAGATTGTAGGACCTTTTGTCACCTTCATCCAGTCAGATGATGAGAACTTCTAAATGTTGTGTTTCAGTGCCACGAGGCGTCCATCGCCATCTACAGCAGCATGGAGAACCAGCGTCTCTCTCATTGGGTCTTTGTTTCTGTGGTGGCGATGATCATCTGTTTCATCATCTACTCCCTCACAGGTCAGACCGCCTTCTGCTTCACGCGTCTAAACTTCAGCTCACACACCTTCTTCACTCATAAAACCAGTCAGCGAGGGAAATGTCTCTCCTCTGGATTTTGTTGTAGGAGTTTACGGGTACCTGACGTTCGGGAAGCACGTGGAGGCCGACATTTTAATGTCCTACGGCAGCCATGACATCCTGATGTTTGTCGCCAGGCTGCTTTTTGGGGTCTCTATTATCACCATCTATCCCATCATCGTGCTGCTGGGCAGGTCAGCCAATTTTCTTTTAGCATTGCCTCGTTCAGACTCACGGGAGGTGGAAATTATTAATTGTAGGGTTAACTACATACTAGAATCAACACTGTTTGCTATCAGTTGTAGATTCTGAGAATGACCAAGCAAATCAGCCTATGAAGCTTACATCATGTATAAATATCCAGGATACTTATATAATCGATGTAAGTTCATACACCAACCTGTTTGGTCTATTATTAATCCAAAGATTAATGTTTAGTTTAAGGTAATTAAATTTAATAGCAAAAGTTTATTTTTGAATCAGAAGTTAAGAATCTTTGCTTTTTCAATAACCAGAAATAATTATACCTTTCTGTGTTTCATTTCAAAGAATGAGGCAAGTTTAAAAATGAAGAATTTACTACTAACAATTTTTAAACTTTACGATTTGAATGACAATTAGAAATGACAATTCATGGATGACAATTTAATGACAATTTTTAACAGCTTTGATATTAAACTTGTTTTAAAAGGCAGACCTGTGGCTGGATGAAAGCTAAATTGGAAATACGAGTTTGGATGAGTGAATGAATTTCTCAGGTTTCTTTCAGAGAGAGGAACGCGTTCTGGGTAGGAAATGATGGATTTGCAGCTAACTGTTGTTTACTTAGAGAAAACGGCATCAAACACATTCCTGTGTGCTACCTCACCCAACAGGAGACCCTCTTTATGGATCCGGAGATCAAGGAGGATGTTGTCCACCTCAGGGTACTCGGTCCGGTAGAGAAGACGCGAGTGAACCGATCCTCTGGTCCAGAGATGTCGCCGGGTACACAGTGTCGAGCGTTTGGCTTAACTCTGAAGGAGTTTCGTCTTACTTAACTCAAAAATCAATAACTCTGAGGAGTTTTGTGTCAGCTGGTTACAGTTCACGTTTGTTCGTAGCTATTCCTATCCCGTGACAGAACAGCTTGGCAGAGGGTCAGGGCGGCCGTTCCCGTCTCCTCAGGATGGTGTTGGTTCACGAACTGAGTGAAAGCTGCTGGAAGTTAGTTTTACAAAGTCCTCAGAACACACCCTCTCAGAGCAAGAAAACTTTGGTCATGAGTTAAGACACGTGATGGAAGTTATCCTTACTCTGGATCAGCTCTGCGTTAGATGGATAAGTGGGAGCTGACCTTCTGATTTGCTGAACACACATTACTGATCATCAACCATAATCATAATTATACCCAAAGCATAATAATTAATTTCAGTTTTTAAAATACATTTATACTGAACCAAGTGATTATTTATGATGATTATAATAAAGTCAGAGTTTATTAATATTATTATTTAGATTATTATCGTGAACTTGAAGTGTTTTTCTTCTGGGACGGAACAGCAGCAGATAATGATGATTCTTTAGCAGACATCAGGGCTCCTTGGTTAATCTGTGGACTTAAAAGTTACAGTCAGCTTGACCCAGCTGGGAAAATGTGACCTTTGTCACAATTAGAGGACCTTCATGATGCTACATAATCAACAGCTGAAGGATTGTAATAGTAGTTGTAAATATCCTAGTTCAAACACTGTTTCTTGTTGCCAAAAGGCAAATTACATGTTTCTCATGCTTTTGAAAGCAGAGTATTTCATTAACTGGAGGGAATTTGATCACAGTCCAAGAAAATGGCTATTAGATGCACTTCTTATGAATTCAGCCCAGGCAAAGATGGCTGCCACAGCTAATCAGTGTTGGCAAACAAAAAATGGCTGAAACTTGGTCAATATCACAAATATTGAGTTAAAACTGTTGCTAGCTGAGAGCTGAAGATTTAAGCATCTTTTTTCAAAACCGAGCAGGTGCAGTGTTTCCCTTACATAGGCGTAGCCGTGGCGGCCCGCGACGGCTGAAATCCCACTGCCACGCCTACAAGATACCAAGTTTATTTTGTTTTATATATTTTTTGCGCTGTTTCCCGAAGAAGCAGCGGGAACTACTATGTTGTCGCTTGTGATCACAGCCGGTAGGCAGCAAGGAGGAGCAGGCAGGGCAAGGTGAAGTTACAGCATAAGTTACTGAGTTTAAAATTAGAAAGGTAGCAGTGGATATAATACTTTTTGGTTTACATGTTTCAATAGCATTAAGATAAACGAGTGTTGACGATCTTGCCAGGGTTTCCTCCAGTACTTATTAGGCCAGGTTTTCCTCCCCCCACCAGGCTAAGCATCACTTATTCATGTAAAATGTATTTATTTTTTCGTGTCTGACTTTAACCGCATCTAATCCTGTATTACGGCGTGAGCGCAACAGCGACAACTTAAGATCGATGTGTGAGCAGCCTGAGAGGTCGGGTGTTTCATCTGAACCCTTAAAACCTCCAGCAGGCTACGCTGCACTAGTGACGTGTTAGCGCACGGCGCTAACAACTTAGCAACGTGACATGTCTCGGAGAAAGCGTAAAAACACGTTGGACGCTTCTTCTGAAGCGGGAAAATAACACTTCTTCTTAAGCAGAGCACGACTTCGCCTCGGCTCGTTCACCCTCTGCTGAGCCGGACTGAGCTCGATAACATTGACCCAGCACAGCCACTGGGTCGTTGGAGCTGCCCCGTGACTGCCTGATGGAAAACCAGCGGGTTTCATCAGACTCGTAAAGTTTCTTGTTGTTGCTGGGGACTCCCTGTATTTAACGCTCCCTCCTGCAGTCCCACCGCCACAGCTGGAAAAATTCCAAGGGGAGACACTGAGGTGTAATGCACTTCCTGTACATTAGAGAAGGTGTGACCTTGTTTTTCATCCATTAAGATCTGCAGATCATTCTGAGAAGCCCTTTTGTCTCTCACCTGGTGTCCATTTTTAGTCTGAGCAGTGCAGTGAGACGTTAATCGGGTGCTAATCCTTGTTACTCATGCTTGAAGTGACTAGAGACAGTAGGGTGTCAAATGACAACACAAAAGGATTCAAACAAGATTTTCACAACAAGCCCCCTTTAAATTTATGAAATCTGTTTGTTTCCGCCCATCAGATCAGTGATCCTGGACCCGCTGCTGAAGAGGAGGCAAAAGCACGGCAGTGTGCGGGAGGCGAAGTTTGAAAGCCGTAGCCGCTACGTGCTAACGGCGGTGTGGATAATGGTGACGCTCCTCATCGCTGTGTTTGTACCAGACATCAGTAAAGTCATCAGCGTCATCGGAGGAATCAGCGCCTGTTTCATCTTCATCTTCCCAGGTCCAGAGCTCAAAGCTGCTCATTTATAGGGAAAAATCATAATCAGAATTGTTTGGTTATTAATCAAATATGATTAAAACACACCTCGTCAAAATAAGAGCATTGCAGAGTGCCAGATTTATTTATGATCTGTTTACTTCTGCAGGTTTCTATTCAGCTCTAGTTGTATGGTTTAAATAAACCTGTGTATAAATGCATACAGTGATCCCTAATAGTTGCTTTTTAGCTTCTTTCTTGGCTTGCTAGAGCACCTTTTAGTCCCTGCATCTTAGAGATTAATGCACTGAACTAGGAAAAATCCTAAATTTGTCATTTATTCTTGGTGTGGATGAGTTGTGAAGTGAACAACCTGAATTCAGTGAAGTGTTTCAGTTCTTTTACAGCCTGGGTGTTTGTTTTTGTACAGGACTGTGTCTGATGTTCGCGATGCAGTCGGAGCCGGTTTCCTGCAAAACCAGGTGAGCACATTAACTCTTTCACCACAGCTAAATGAGACACGTTTTTAAAGTTTCATCCAATAAAGTTTCAGGATCACTTTATTCAGATGAACTTCACTTGCGTTATATATATTAAATTACTCTCCTTCCATACTGCTAATATGTCATTTAAAGGTGCATTATGTAGAAACGAAGTAAAAAAGACATCCTGTGGTAAAATTTGATTCCTGCGACCATCTTTAAACAACTCTGGCACCTTTTGCTCAGCACTGCGGTATTAGCTTGCAGGAGACAAGGCACCCCCACGCTCACTGATGGTAACCAGTGGTTACGTTCCGCTGGATATGGAAGATGTTTCAGTTTAACCTTCCAATATGACTGAAGCATTAGACTCTTTGGATTTTCTCACTATATTCCTACACACTGCAGCTTTAATGCATTTTTTGACAAGTTTGAGAAATTATTTTGCAACTCAACTTATTTTACTGAACTCAAAGCTGCACTAGAAGCTACTTCTAGAAATGACTCAGATTTAAATAATGCTAATACAGATTAAAGATCTTGAATAAAACTTATCTGAAAATCAAAGCTAGAATATCTAATTTTGCCATTTTTGGTGATTTAAATAGTGTTAAAGATAAGAGTTTATTCAGGATTAGAATAAAACTTTCTAGAATTAAAGGTGAAACACAAAAGCTCAGGAGGGTTGTAGGTTCAACCCTGGCTTCTGCGCCCTTGGGCAAGACACTTAGCCCACCTTACCTGCTGCTGGTGGTCGGAGTGATGGCGCCAGTGTTCAGCAGCCCCACCTCTGTGTGGATGTGACTAACTGTGTTGTAAAGAGCCTTGGGGGGTTGTAGAACCCTAAGAAGGTGCAATGCAAATACAGGCCAAACGTTCTTTTATGTCAGTAGTTCAACCTAAAAGGTGAAACTAATACGAACTCATTCCAGGCTAATCCAGATGTTTCAGCCATTTATTTGTTATAACTGATTAGGGCTGCACAATATATTGTAAATATATCGTAATCAGCATGCACAATATGCATATCGCAAAGAACAGATAAATATCACGATGAACGGCCAGCTCAAATGTTTGCTACACATGATGCATTCTGTCAAACGGAAGCATGATGTTTTTTTTAACAAATCAAATAGAGCTCTTCTCCCATTTGGCCAATCAGGTGGGTTCTAATAGGTTAGATGCCCACCCCCTATAGGCGGACAGCACTTGATTTGTGTGGCTAGCAAACACCTGAGTTAGCTTTGTTTAGCTTTTTCTGCTGATTCTGCTTTTCCCGGGATCCACGGATTCCCTTTTCTTTTTCCCTTTCCTCACATCTTTTGCATTTCTCATTTTTATGATTTTTTTATTTCTTTTTTTGATTGTTTTTGTTCCTGAGTTAAGTTTTTATTTATTGCAAGTAATATCGTCACCGCAATATTAATCATTGTTATCGAATATCGCAGGATTTCCTAATATCGTGCAGCCCTATAACTGATGATTATGACTTACAGCTGATGAGAACCTCACATTAAACATCTCAGACAGTTAGAATATTGTGAAAAGGTTCACTCTTCTAGACACTAATCAGCTGATGAATCCAGAACAGCTGCAGAGGGTTCCTGAGCCTTTAGATGGTCTCTCAGTCTGAGCTGGATTACTGCCATAAGTGGCCTTTTGCAGTTAGAATTTACAAAAGCTGAATCTCCCCTCCAGAGTCGCCCTTACAGTCTGGGGGGTCGTGACCCTGATCTGCGGCGCCTTCGTCTTCGGGCACAGCACCACCCTCTCCGTCCTGCAGCTCCTCGGAAAGATCTGACTTCCCTGCAGGATGCAGGTTTCTACCCTGCTGTCTGAACTTGTTCTTCTCTCCGTCTGTGGTGAGTCGAGGCTTTTGAACCATGAGGATGTTTTTGAAGACTTTGAGCGGGAGGCTTTTATTTTTGCAGCGGAGCTTCCTACTGCTCGCCGTTGAGGTTTATAGCTGCCGTTTGTGACTACAGGGGATTCCAGAAAGCAGGTTGTCCTGTTTTACAACAACCGGTCTCATGTTAGACAGTTAAAGTCCCATTGGTCTCCATAGTCGGCCCACTCCCGTGGGGAGAGCCGGGCTGTGGCTGCCATTTGGTGGTTTAACCCCCCAATCCGAGCCTTTAACTCATTCGCTGTCAGTTTCTCACCGTTTTTACTGTTTTTTTAAGAGTCACAGAACGTTGCGCGCTAGGATGATGTCGACGCCAAAACGACCAAAACAAAGCGGAGACTCACCTCTTACATCAGGAAGAATCCGCGCGTTTTGAGAGCTATCCGTTCTTTCATAATCCGTTGTTGAATTGTGATCGGCAGAAGCTTTTTCGGTTCGCGCCTCACTTTTTTTACAGCAGCGGCCCAAAACGATCTCCTAACACATGGATGTTCTGCTTCCTGATCACGTGACGCGTGACGTACGCGGATGAAGATCAACTTTAGAGCTGAGATGTTTGTTCTCACGGTGTGGGGGCTCGTCCGACGCCCACACAGTAGAAACATTGGCAGTGAATGAGTTAAAGCTGAGTGGCATCGGGTCTCGTCTTTGGAATGACCTGACCGGGATTTGAACCCCGATCTCCCGCTCTACCACCGAGTACATTTAAATAAGGAACAAAGAATCAGAATTGTTCCAAATGTTTTCTGTGATTTTCTTAAAAAGCTTTAACTTCCAGATCCTTTTTGTTCATTTTCCTCTGAGCCTGTTTGAGATTAAAAATCAGCTGTTCTGCAGCCCCCCCCCCCCTCCCAGTGCTAGTAGTCCTTTCTTTTGAACAAATTTAACCTTAAAGGTGAAAGAAAAAAGAATGCAAGCAATTTTGTTTTGATGGTGTGTGCGTGCACATTTCAAAATAAAACATTTTCATACAACATTTTCTAGAGTCTGAGATTAACAGATTATTAATTTGTTGATTTAGCAGACACACTGTTAGAACAACTGTTCACCAGAACCTCTCGAGTTTTTCTTCTCCCTCAGGTGAGCTGCCCAGGTGTACACCCGCCCCTCGCCCAGTAGACACTAGCTCCGCCCACCAGGCAAAAGCAGGTAAAGGAAAAAAAGTAGCATTTGTGACGCTATTTTGGTTACTGGTTTAGTAACCAGTCATACAAGTTAGCCAAGGTCCTACACGAGTATCCCAAAAGCCTCAGGCACCAGGGTGGCCAGCAGGGGGCTGCCTGCTACACGGGGCTTTAGGGACTCCAGCGCAGCACCAGTACAACCTGCAGGTTTAAATGAGTCCAACAGCACAGGTTCAGTTTGATAGTTTTATTGATTTGCATCACTTTACATCATCTAGAATTATTCTTTAAGGACCACCATGACTCGCATCCCTGCAGTAAGTCTCTACACTTGAAGAGAAAGCAGTTTTACTGAAACATACATTAAGAATTAATATTTCAAACATTGCCATAAAAGTTTAAGATCATTCTTATATGCCTTTTTTCTTCTAGTCAAATATATTTTAGTCTCTGTCTCCTTCATAGGAACACTAGAAAAGAAAAGATAAGAAAAGCACAAAATCTATCGAGTAGCATGGCCTAAAACTACGTTACTGGACATTCAGGTTGACATGCACTCAGGAGGATAGAAAAGAACACCGCCATAGAGAGGAAGAGTTATGGCCTTGATGTCTGGCTAATTCCTGATTGGCTTTTTGTATCACGTGTGACGACTCGTGTCCGAGCTTCCCGACAGCGACGGACACCAGCAGGAGGTGGGACTTCCTCCCGCTGCTGCAGGAAACACTCAGTCAGGAGGCTTCAACGGCATAACTCTTTCAATGTATGACAAAGCACAGGTTGCACTGAGGAGGAGGAGGGTAGAAAAAGAACACAGCCTGAGGGACGCTCAGGAGTGTTTCAACAGGAAACAGTATTGGCATATTTAACATTTCAGTCACCATCTACCTGAAATATGAAACCCAACCTCGCTGGGCGCAGACGAAGGGAGCACCCTCCGTTAGAGCGTGCGGGCCGCGCCGAACGCCGTGCAGCGTATGGCTAAGTTCTGGTTCGACAGCAGAGCGCCCTGTGGAGCTTTTAGATTGACGTGTACGGCGAACAGTGTTGGGCAAGTTACTTTATAACTGTAATGCATTGTTTATTACTTGTTTAAAAGTAATTCATTACATTACAATATTACTGATTTTAAAATGTAAGGCATCACACTACTTTAGCATTACTTTAAGTTACTTTCACCAAAACAACTTCAGTATGAATCTGGTCATGTGACGCTCAGCGAGCTCATGACATATATGTGGAAGGTGATGTGGTGTCTGAGCTAGGGTTGCTGTTAAAAACAGTCAGATATAATAACAGTGCTTTAAATGATTGTTGTTGCTTTTATTTAATAAACAATCTGTACTCTCAGCACGCTGCCATCTTATAGGGCCATCTGAGCAGGGAGTGAGGTGGTGGGGGCTCCAAGCCTATATTTGCCTTGGTCCCCAAATGCTTTGACACGGCCCTGGATGTGGGACTGACTTCTGGGGAGATCTGATTCTATCACATGTATAAATATTAAATACTTATATATTATTGCTTTTCACAGGTAAACATGTGTATTGGGGATAAATCTACCTACTTTTTTCTTTTCAAGCACTTTGTTTTGTTTTCTTGATTTTATCTGAATAATTTCCGGCCCTTTCTCTAACCTTCCTGCATGCTGCATGTTTTCTCCGTCTTCCAGAAAAACTGTTTCCTAGATTTCCTACTTTCTAACTAATCAGCCAAAGGGATCTACCGAACGCAAAAAAAGAAGCTTAATATGCGCTGCGCTCCTGCAGCAATGAGTTGAAATCACTGGGCACAGATTATGAACTCAGCTGAAAAGTACAGGAAGTACCAGAGAATATGGGCTGAAATAAACGATCGCAAACGAATTACTTTGTGTTGGTGGAGAGATTTTGTGAATATAACAGCGGCCGCGCGCAGGACGCAGCTGGAGTATTTGAGCCGTTACCGCTGCGTCCTCTCTGCTCATAGAATGCCCGCAAAGCTGAGTCCATAAATGACGTCATATATGTAGATACTGGATCTTTTTTCAGGCTTCCCGCAATTTGAATATTTCGGAAACCCACGTCTTGATTCTGGGTTTATAAATGCATTGTGTTACGGACACTTGTACCGAGTAAATATTACCATTTTCTTTCCCTGTAATGCCTTACATTACCACATTACAGCAAAAAGCAATGCATCACAGTAATTAATTACATTTGTACCGTGTTACTCCCAACACTGACAGCGAATAAAATGCAACCGAAGCTGAACCTCCAGCATGAGCCGAAAAGTTTAATTATAAATAAAATGGTTTGTTTCATCAAACATATTCAACACATTAGTTACACCTACGTTACGGATCAGCTCCATGAATATTGAGTCACACAGCACTGCTACAGGAGCCTGGAGGTTCAAACAGGAAGTAGGAGCAACGATGGGGGGGGAAGTATCTCCTGACTTGACTCCATAAAGCGCGTGGGGGTCGTTATAAACGCCACAGTCCCCCTGATGATGGATTCATGTTTTGGTGCACACCTGCTAACGCTCTTGCTGCTGAGAAGCCGTTCGGGGCGAGGTGGGAGGAAACGTTACATCAGATGGTTGGATGTGAGAAATTATTCAGGGTTAGTTTCTGAGGTTTTTCCTCGCCAATCAAAAAGGTCACGACCTCCACAGGTTTACGGCGGCGGCCCAGCGCTCTAACAGGAGGAAACGGTGCAGATAGACCCCCCCCCCCCCCACCCCCTTCAGAACAAACAGGTGATGAGATGAGAAAATAGACCCAGCAGATACACATCAACACTAGAATCATGTTTTTTTTACATTGTGCTTCTTAAACTCTGTTCTACGGTGGCGAGCGGACATCCAGCAGGTACCGCGTTCAGCTCAGACTCCAGATTATTTACTGATATGCTGGAACCTGATTTAATCTAATTGCCTGGGATTTAAAATGCCTCTGTTGTTTTTTGCAAACCTGTTCCACTCTGAGACGTTTTAAGGCTTTAATTCGGACGGTTTAAGGAATCTGCTGCTTTTGCCGAGGGGAGATGACACCGTAGCACTAAATACAAATATAACCATGTCTCATTATATACACCCGCTGCTAGACTTAGCACAGCTAATAAATCTACTTATAGTCGGTTCTGATACACACACACACACACACACAGAAAGAGCTGCACGGACTTGATTTTAGTTTTCCTTCGGCTGTCGATAATCCCTTAACAGAATGAATCAATCTGCTCATATTCTAATGAAATTAGGATGATGTGGAAAGTCGGACTGTTTTATTACGGATATCTGAAGGCCAACATCTGCTAATCCCAGCTGAAGATGCTCCCGTTGTTAGGTTTGAATCGATCTTATTGACTTTACTCCCCCCAGAGGACTCAAAGTTCTCCATTCAAACAGAATAAAAGATTTTAAATCCTGTTGTTTGATATTTCCTCCATTCTGTTCTACAGATGCAGCGTTACAGATTTATTCTTGTGTCATTAATTATTCTAACAAACTTGATCATTTTGGCCTTCAGCATCAAAATAATAATCAGAACTTGGAGCCGTCTCAGGTTTCCACCAGAATAAAGCTTTAACCGTGTTTTACTGGTTCCGTGGTTATTTTGGTCAAGTAATCTCAGGAAATGAGAGATTAAATTATTTTGAATTGTCTTCTTCTAGGAAGTCTCAACATCCCATGAGATGGGATTCCTGGGATTTTACTAAAATAAGTTATTTTTAGCCTGAACTGGTGTCGGTTAAACATAATTCCAGCAAAAGGATCATCTGAGCAGCACGAGGGTTAATTATTGCTGCTCTGACCCAGAACTCAAAAGTGGGACTGTTGCAACGTGGTGTTTGTTCTGATTGGAGCTCACCTCTATCAGATTTCCTGAGATTACAGCCTAATCTGACAGATGTGCTGCTGGGAGGGTGACGTTGGTAGCTGGAGGCGCTGCAGGACGGCTTTAAGGAAAACTGACTGCTACATGAAGCGCCACCTCAGGGTTCCCGCTACACGACCTCATCGTGGTCCAACGTGTTTTTAGGAATGTGCACCGTTCCTTCCGTTTTCATGATGTAAACGTGTACTTACAAAAAGGAGCTGAGGGATAAAGGAGGGGAGGGGCAGTAACGGGTAGGGCGGGGAAAGAAGAAGTGGAGAGTGTCCAGGAGTCTTGGCGTGTAGGTGACGGTCTTCATGCTCAATCCTTGTTCACGCTGCACCAGGCGGCTGCAGAAAAAAACATCAACAGCTTAAAACTCAACGGAGAGGTTTCCGGAACTACGGTGGCCTCCCAGATCTCAATTTTAACATTTGTTCTCGTCTTAAAATCTTCGAGGCAGAACTCGGGTGATTAATACTCGGCTTCTCTGGAGGAACAGAAACACCGAGGAGCATTAGTGACTCATCGGAGTTTGAAGAGGAAACGTGGTAAATAAATAAAAGGAGCCATCAGCTTCCACAATAAGAGCCTCACACACACACCTGAAAGCATCGGAGGCTTATGAAAGCAAACAGGATTAATAAAACTAGTTTTGAGGTTCTGTGTATGTACGAGACTCTTATTGTGAAGGATTAAAACACATTCTGTGGATGCCGCTACAGAAGAAGCCAGAAGATCGAGAACCTTCAGGGTAAAGAGATCCCTTTCTGTTTAAACAATTTAATCCTGCAAAGAAAAAAATCCGTCTGGAACATCGATGGAAAATCCTCACAATCTAACCATCAGAAGGACCCGGCCCTGCTTTTACTTTGGTAGGGTACCTGTGTTTTACAGCAGTTTGAGTTTAGACCTCACACAACCTTTTGTTGTTGGGAGCAAAATGTGGCAAATAGCTGCAAATATGACTTCATCTTAAATCCAGGCTGGTGCAGCACGATAAACTTTACTCGTGTTGGAAGAATCGATCTCTTCCTTTCTAAAGGTGTGAACACGTGTCGTCAGTACGTCTGCAGGGGTCTCGTAGGAATGAATGCCTTGTGAGTCGTGTTTTGGGGGGAAAAAACAGCTGCGCCATTTGCAGGAACTAGAAGTGAGCCACGTCACAGCTGAGCTTCAGACCGCAGAATTTGGAGTCTTACTTCCTGATATGTGGACATCTCTCCTCTGATTGGCTGACAGCAACACGACTACCACTGACTGTTTGCTCTGCAGCGATGTTTTGTCTCCACAAATAACACAAGCCTGGAGGAGTTCTGCTGCGTGGTGGAGTTGCTAATGCTAACTGGTAGCTTCTACTAGCTGAGACGTTCTTAGTGACGGTGTGACGTAGATCTGTCGGGATTTTCTAATCCTAGAGTTTCATCGTCTGTTTTCTATCAGAAGCTACTGCAGGAGACAGGTGTAGGAGACTATTTTCATGTTCAGCCTGCATGAAACACTCCGAGTGACCCGTTAGAATCAGAAACGATCATTAAAGATGCTTTTAACTAAACTTTATTTTCAGGAGGACCGAACACGAGCTGCACTAAATTCTGTTTGGCAGAGAAAAGATGAAAAATCCAAACGTCAGACTCATTTATTTATGTCGCTAAAGCCTTTAACAGCGTTGTCATTAGGAGGATTTACCGTCTGACCCGTACCGACTGCAGTCAACCATTTATCATCATGTGACGTGATTTCTGGCCAGCGTTCACATTCAGACGACTCGGCACCGCACTTAATAAAGTTAAACAATCTACACTTCCTCATCCCAACACCAGATGTTTTACGCCATTTCTAGAGCTGGCGTTTGGCCAGGGACGAAGGTAAAGCTGGTTTAACGATGTTTTACTAACCTGGCACGGCTACAGAAGACACGGCCTCCGGCTGGCACAGCGTGTCCACCTTCACATGCTGAAAGGCTTTGTTGGGAGGCGACTGAAGGTGCCTGCAACCAGCAGCAGAAGAAGAAGTGGTGAGAGTGTGCACGCACGCCTCAGCTTTTACTGTAAGCCCTGAAATATTAATGGCACCGAGACGCAGCAGAGCAGAAAGTCAGATCAGCTTCATCAGCAGCTTCTCCTCCAGCTCGCCACCGCTCAATCACAATGAACCGCTGCAGCTGAAGAACGCTAATTAAACGTTGGAAGGAGGATTTTTTTCCAACAGGCTTTCGAACATTAATGGAGGAAAAGTGAGAGCCCTTTCTTTGTTTGGTGATCAGCAATCAATAAAAACCAGAAATGAGCTTCAGAAAACCTTTCAGAGGAGCTGGAACGCCGAGTCAAAGGTGTTCTCTGGAGACGGCACGAGTGCCGCCTTTTATCGTGTTTTTGTTTCTGCGTTGGGCTTTCCTGGTTTGTTTCCTGTTGCTGTGAATGAAGTCCAAGGAAACAAAAGCTGTAGTTAGCGTTAAGTCAGCGTCGTACCAGGGGCGTGCCCAGATCTTTTGAAATGGGGTGGCCCAGGTGAGGCACAACTTTGTGCATGGGTGGCACCAATGGTTATGCTTTTTTTGTTTGACCCCCAAGCCTTTTGTGGACAATGAAAAGCCTATTTAAAGGTGAACTAGTGTGGTGGCACCTGGGGTGGCCAATCAGATTCCAAGGGTGGCATGTGCTACCCCAGGCCACTCCCTGGACACGCCCCTGCGTCGTACCTGCAGCAGACAAGGATCTACGTTTGGAGAATGAGGGGGAAATTCTCGTATGTTTTCATAAACCAGTCACACTTTTTCTCAGGTTCATTAATAACTTCCTGAAGCGTCCTTCGATCAACACGGATGTTTAGCTAAACTGAACTTTAGTCTCACTCCAGACAGCGATGCGGTTCTGCTCTGCACCTGTTCCCGAGCAGGTCTCGAAGACCCAGACCAACAGATCTGACTTCCACCCTCACCTCTTCCACTCCTCTTCTCCATCCCAGAACTCGTAGACGACGAAGGACAGACCGTCAGGCAGACGCACCGCCGTCACGCTGCAACAGAAAACCAGAAAGAAAGGAAGGTGCACATTGGTTTGATTATGGTCCACAGAGGTCAGAGAGGCGTGAATTACGGGATGAAGAGAAAACATCACAAAACAAGATCATAAACGTGAAGAAATGTCATCTTCCACATCATAAAACAGGAAGGAGTCCGTAAAGATGAAATAACAATAAAAGTGGGTTGCGCAAACGGCTGATACTCGTGTTAGGCTTTTGTTTCTCACTTTAGCTGATTGCTTCCAGAAGAGCGTTCGTGTGTTTGAACAAGGCCCTCGTGGCATTTCTGTCCCGTTTTAATAGTCGAGGTGCATCAGAGGGCAACATGAACCACAGGCCCCAAGGAATGATGGGAAAGAGTGCAAAAAACTCATGACATTGTTAGTGTTTTCATTGTTTTGAAAAAAGCTTTTGACGTCATTGGTCACTCAAGGTTACTTCGAAAATTAAGTCAGTATGGAATAAGTAAGAGGTGTGGCTCATCAATGGGTTAAAACTTATTTAGAAAAAAAGGAAACATTTTGTGCAGATAAAGGACCATCAATCAAAATTATGTGAAATTAGTTGTGGAGTGCCACAAGGGTCGGTCCTAGGACCAAAACTGTTCATTTTGTTTATTAACGACTTGGTAAATGTATCTAAGACACTCAGTACCATTCTATTTGCAGATGATACAACACTGTTTTACTCAGGATTAAATATTGAGGAGGTGGCCAAAGTGATAAATTATGAACTGATTAAAATTAAAAACTGGTTTGATATAAATAGATTGACACTGAATCTTAATAAAACTAATTTTAAACTGTTTAATGATAAAAAGAACAGGGATGTGTCATTGGAAATAGATGGGACTGCAATTCAAAGAGCAAAAGAAACTAAATTTCTTAGAGTTCTTATTGATGAAGACTTGACGTGGAAATCCCGTATTAGTTACATAAAAGGTAAAATCGCCAAATCCTTAGGAGTATTACATAGAGTCAAGTTTTTACTGACTAATTCTGGTTTGCTGGCGTTGTACAATTCACTGGTTGTTCCATACTTGACTTATTGTGTAGAAATCTGGGTGGCAACATACAAAAACTATACACAACCCTTATTTATTTTACAGAAAAGAGCTCTGAGAATCATCAATTATAGTGGCTGTAGAGATCCATCGAACACATCGTTTATTAAATATAAATTACTGAAATTTCATGATTGAAAAGACTGGAAAATCTTACAAACCATGTATAAAGCCAGTTTAGGTACTCTGCCAACAAACATTCAGGGGATATTTGAAAAGAGAACTAGTAATTACATGCTGAAAGAAACTGATGTGTTCACAAAACCTAGATTTAGAACTAAAATTAAGGAGTGGAATATATCTGTAAATGGTGTTAAATTATGGAATAACCTTAAAAGGGAAATTAAAAAAACTGTCATTTAAAGAGCAAGTCACCCCCAAATAAACATTTTTTTTGCTGATAAACTAAATAAACGAGTGTCTAATCGTGCTGCAGACACGTGTCGTCAATAATTTGGCACTTCAGTGAATCTTAGTTAAAATTTAAATATTCTGCCTAAAACTGGCAGTGTGGTGCCATCGTCAGGTAAAAACTCTGCACTGCATTTGAATTTAAATCTGCCACCGCTATTGGCTAAGAAGTATGCTATGATGTAAACTGGTACATTATGATGTCACAATGCTGTCGTGAGCCTGAGTGTGTGTGTATTTGTTAGCAGCTCCTCCTTCTCGGTCTGCCAGGCAACAGCATTTTTTGCATTTTTCAAACATGAAGTGGGAGTGGAGTTAGACTCTGGTAGTAGAGCTGAGGAAAATAATCAAATAATCGATGCATCGGGATGCGGACATAAACGATTCTGCATCGTAGAAGAGTACGCCATAATCGATTATAGTGGAATGTAGTTTTGTTTTTTTAATGGCGGCACCAGCGCAGATCCAAATCTGTCAGAGTGAGCGTCCTCCACATTTACCTCCGCCTTAATGTGGTACTGCAGGGCTGAGCGCTAGAGTTGTCACCCGAGACCAAACGGGAACCGAATCAGCCCGACCGGTTCTGTTGGATTTGGGCCGTGAATTATGTTAATTGAGCGGTTGTCGTGCGGCGCGCTCCGCTCGCTCGATCAGCGACAGAGAGAGAGAGAGAGAGACTGTCTGCTCAGAGAGACGATCGGAGGACGCTCCTCCAAACACGCGTTATTATTTTCATAATTTAATTATTATTTCTCCTGGAAGCGCTCAGTCAGACTGCTTGTTGTAATGTAGGGAGAGCCGGTCTTGGGGAGGGGGCGGGGTCAGTGACAGCGGCTGCAGCGTGATCGTTGTTGTGTTCAAGAAGTTCTGTAGTAAAGGAGGCAAATTATTACATGCTGTTACACTGTCAGACCAGGGGGTGCCGCTAAAGAGGCTGGAGGAGGAACAGGGGAGAAAAGAAGGGAGAAGGAGTGAACAAGATGGTGTACCGCTGTAAAGCTTGAAATAAAGTGTTGAACCGAGACGTCGCCTCCGCTGCCTGATTACAAACGCAACAAATTGGCGACGAGGATGAGCGCGTCAGTGCCGTGCCCACCGCCCTTTTTGCAACATGCGGGTGAGCCGCCGATGCCGTTTACGACGTGGCGCAAATTCTTTGACAACTACATGCTAGTGATAAATGCTACAGGAGACGCGTGGCCGGAGGCGAGACGACGAGCCGTCTTATTACATTGCTTGGGACCAGAGGGACAACGACTGTTCTACACACTGCCGAATCAGGGTACCACGGTTGAAGATGCCATGACGGCGCTTGAAAAACTCTTTGTCCCTAAAGTGAATGTAGTGGCATGCAGGCACACATTCAGACAGCGAGTTCAGCGGGCTGATGAAACTGTGACCCAGTATGTTGCCGCCCTCAGAGCGTTAGCTGTGCCATGTGGTTTTGGAACGATGGAATGTGAGATGATTCGGGATCAACTTGTTGCTAATGCTACTCTCAGTGTTGTTAAAGATAAATTGCTGCTGGAGGAGGACCTTACATTGGACAAGGCAGTTACTATTGCATGTCAGGTGGAGGCTGCGGTCAAGAATGCTACACTCCTCTCCGCTGCGCCCACGGCTCAGACTGCTGCAGTACAAGCTGTGGAGGCGAAGGACGCACGTCTTCGGGGTAAAAGGGGAGCGCGACCAGCTCAAGCTCGGGGACCTACATCTAAAGAATGGCACAAAAAGGCAAGTGATAAAGTGCAACAGCGTCACTGTTTCAGATGTGGATCCGAGAAACACCTGGCTAATGATAAAAGCTGTCCAGCAGCAAAAGTGAAATGTGATAAATGCAGCAAAAATGGACACTTTGCCAGAGTTTGTAAATCAGCTGTAGCAGTGGTCAGGGAAGTAATCGTCCCTGAATTTACAGTTTTATATGTGGATGATCACAAACGGATGAGTGCAGCAGGTGACAAGATTACATGCAAAATGAACATTGAAACACCACAGGGACACTCTCAGGTCCTGGAGTTAATTGTGGATACAGGGGCTTCAGTATCTATCCTTCCAGAAGCCATTTACAAAGAACATTTTGCACCCTGTGCGTTGACTGAACCGGAAGTTAAGCTTGTCACTTATGCAAAAGGTGACTTGCCTGTCATTGGCTGCCTACAGACTTCAGTGAGGGTCGCAAACAATGACAGAAAAGTGCCAGGATCATTCTTCATAGTTAAAGATGGATCACCTTTGCTGGGGTTGGACTTAATTAAAGCACTCAACATTGATATCATTGCTGGAAAAGTTATCAATAAAGGAGAGGATCCTGCAAGAGGATCACCAGCCAGTAAACAAACATGTATGGTGAATAACATTGATTCTTCTTCTTCCCATCACCTTGGAGCTGTTAAAGGGTTCATCCACAAAGTCCAAGTGAACAAGACAGTACCGCCAGTTCGCCAAAAACTGCGGCGCCTACCTCTCAGCATACGTGAGGAGGTTTCAGCTGAATTGAAACGGCTACTCCAAGCAGGCATCATTGAACCAGTGGATGCAGCTGAATGGGTGAGTCCTCTAGTGGTTGGAAGAAAAAGTAAGGGAGGCTTAAGACTTTGTGTGGATCTGCGTGAACCTAACAAGAGTGTGATTATAGACTGTTACCCTCTTCCTCACATGGAGGATTTGTTCGCACAGCTGGCTGGGGCTACACATTTTAGCCAGATTGATTTAAGTTCAGCTTATCACCAACTCACTCTTCACCCTGATAGCCGAAGCCTCACAGCATTCATAACCCATGAAGGACTCTTCCAGTTTACCCGAGTCCCGTTTGGACTTGCTTCAGCCCCCTCTGCCTTCCAAAAGATGATGGAAACAGTCCTAAGAGGCCAAGCAGGAGTACAGAACTACTTGGATGACATAATAGTGTATGGGCATTCCAGAGAAGAGCATGATGAACGGTTACAAGCTGTCCTACAATGCCTGAAAGATGTTGGTCTGCAGATCAACTTCAACAAAAGTTCATTTGGACAGACATCTATTCCGTTCTTGGGACACATCATCTCTAAGGATGGCCTGAGCCCCAGCCCAGACCACCTGACTGCCATTGCCAAAGCTCCTGCACCAAAGGACATGGCTGCCCTTCGTTCCTTCTTAGGCTTGACTTCGTGGTTCAGCAAATTCCTACCGAACTATGCAACTGTGGTGGAACCACTCCGTGAGCTACTTCGGACAAGTCAGGCGGCTGAACTTCAATGGACTGATGCAGCAAACGAAAGCTTCAACAAACTGAAGGAAATGCTACTAAAAAGCCCAGCACTGGCAATCTTCAACCCAAATCTGCCAACGTTCATCACCACGGATGCGTCAGATTATGGTCTTGGAGCTGTTCTGACCCAAACAAACTCAAACAATGAGGAACGGGTTGTTGCTTTTGGTTCCCGCACCCTGTCCCCAGCCGAGAGGAAATATTCAACAATTGAAAAAGAAGCTCTCGCCTGCGTATGGGCCGTCGAAAGATGGAGGACGTACATATGGG